GAGAGAGAGAGAGAGAGAGAGAGAGAGAGAGAGAGAGAGAGAGAGAGAGAGAGAGATGGGACGTACCTTCGGCAGTCGCCGCGAGATAGAAAGGCACTTCAGCAAACCCGCCCACGCCTGGCTTGTTCATGACGATGCCGCCAAACGTGTCTGCAAGCCATTGCACCACTTGAGGTCCGCCGGCATTCGCCAGTGCATTCGTCTTGCAGAGTCCCGGAAAGACGTGTGCGATGCGAAGCGCCGGGTGGCGCTCTGCCAGCGTCTGCGCGTGGAGAGGACATGATGAGCGTGGGTGGACGTTTCGGGCGCGAATGTGGCAAAGCGGCGGCTTACCTGAGAGACACTGTCGAGCACTGAGCTCTGTCGTGCACCCTGCGCAAGCAGGCCAAATACTCCGCTCTTCCACTCGCCCGTCTGGCGCGCCTTTGCAAAGTCGAGGTCCTCCACGTCGACGGCCTTGTTGCCGCCCGAGCCCGGCGCAGCCACAAGAATGATGCCCGCCTTGACCACGCCTGCCGCGGCCAGCTGTGCCGCAATGCCGAAGCGCGACAGGCACTGCACGGCGAAGCGCTGCTCATAGCCGCCCGCGGCGTTCTCGCGGAACGTGCCTGTCGGCGGACCGCCTATTGTTGCAGAAGGCGAGCCGTCAGCGACTGCTGCTGCCTGTGTCACGGCATGCGCAAGAGAGCCCACCCTGCGTCTGCACGATCCAGTCAATGCCCTTCTCGCCGGCCTTCTGCCGGACCTCCTCGACGACGCGCGTGATCTCCCTTGCGTCTGCCAGATCGGCGCTGAAGAAGACGTGCTCCTTGGCGCCGCTCGTGTGCGCGGCCTTGCCGCTCCTGCGCTGATACTCCTGCGACGCCTGCTGCAGCTTCTGCACCACCGCATCTCCACGCTCGCGCGAACGGCCAATGAGCCAGACCTCGGCGCCGGCGAGGGCGTAGCGCAGCGCAATGCCGGCGCCGATGCCCTGCGTGCCGCCGGCGACGAGGGCGCGCTGCTCGTCGAGCGAGGCGGCGGCGTTGGCGCGCGCGAAGGAGCGGAAGCCCAGTGCTTCGGGGTAGGCGGTGGGCATGGCGGCAGGGGACGGCGTGGTGGTGGTGGTGAGAGCGGGCTGAGCGCGGCTTGGGTCAGCGAGGTGGAGGCGGGGGTGCAACTTGCCTCGTCAGCGTGCCTGGTGCCTGAGCTTGGACTCCTCTGACTCTGACTGCCGCGCGGCGCGCGCGCCGCGCGCGCCGAGCACCTGCCGCTGCGCTGTGCGGCTGCTGCGTGCCTCTCCTCCACCACACCGCGTCAAGCGCAATCAGCTTCTGCCCAGCGGCACAACAACAGATCGAGGAGAGGCACAGCACACACACCGCGCACCATGTCGTTCCGTGAGCTCGTGTCCGTGTGCTCTGGTCGCTGCGCCCGGCTGATGCGACGCAGTGCCCGTCGGCCTCCTGCCCAAGTGGCTCCTCCTTGTCTCGAGCCTCGCCGTGTTCAACTGCGTGCAGAACTACGTCGACCATGCCTTTGCCCGTCGGGTATACACGCGCGGTGGCGCACAAGGTGCGGGCCCGCTGTCGCAGCCAGCATGTCCTCCACCTCTGACATTCCTGCTGTCTCGCAGTGACGCCGCTCTCGGCGCGCACATTCGGCGTGTGGAATCTTGCGTCGGCCGGCGTGCGGCTGTATGCCGCGTACAACATCCACAACCGACAGTGAGCCTCGACGCTTCTTGCTGTGCAGTCGCTCGCTGACTGACGCCGCGCAGGGTGTACGAGCTGTGTGCCCTGACCTACGTGCTCGCGCTCGCCCACTTCTCCTCCGAGGTCTTCGTGTACAAGACGGCCAGCATCCGCGCGCCCGGCGTCATCAGTCCGCTGATCGTGGCCTGTGAGTGTACCACTCGGTGCGCCCGCCGCCCGGCAGCCGGCTGACTCTGACACTCGCGCCACAGCGTCGAGCCTTGCAGCAATGCTTCTGCAGCACCAGCACTACGTCGCATTATCATCCCCGCTGGGGGGGATGTGCTGACGACGCTTGTAATGCGCCGTTACATGTTTATGTGTGGGGTGGCTGGGGACAGAGGCAAAGGAGCGTGTGAAATGAGATCGAGGCACTCCACGCGTGCGACGTGCGCGGACGGCGAGCTGAGGCAGGGAGGGTCAGCGATGCGGTCGTGGCAGCTCGAGCCCGCAGCATCGCGCGCTCGGCTGTCGTGCGCGGCGCGTCGCGCGTCGCGCGGCCCGGCGACGGCGCGGCGAGGCGCGCCGACAGGCTTCGTCTTGGCTGCCACCACCACGCTGACGCGCACCCCTCCTGCACCCCCACCCCTCGTTCAATCATGGAGGCTACACTCACTGCGCTCAAGGTGACGGAGCTCAAGGCGCTGCTGCAGCAGGCGCAGCTGCCGGCGACGGGCAACAAGGCCGACCTGGTGGCGCGCCTGCTGCAGCACCCGCAGGCCACCAGCAGCCTCGGCGGCGGCGCCGAGGCGCCAGCTGCTGCTGCGGCACAGCCGGAGCCGTCGGCGCCGGCACAGGAGGAGGACCTGCTGGAGTACGAGAAGTGAGCAACTCGGGCGATGCGCGCGCGTGCGAGGCCATACCTGGCGCGTGGCGACGCTGCATGCGTCTGGCGCTGACCCATGCACGCGCCCTCGCAGCGAAGAGCCGGCTGCCGCGGCTGCACCGGCAGCGACAGACGCTGCACCGACTGCGGCAGCTTCTGCATCCTCTGCTGCGGCGTCTGCGCCCTCTGAGGAGGCAGCAGCGCCCAGCGCCGAGGAGGCAAAGGCGACGCTCATCGCCGAGCTGGAGAAGCGCAAGGCGCGTGCCGCCCGCTTCGGCCAGTCGACCGAGGAGATCGACGCGCAGATTGAGCGGGCACAGAAGTTCGGCGTCGAGGATGCGGCGCAGGACAAGGGCATGGCGGGCCTGCAGAAGGAGCTGGGCAAGGGCTCAAGGAAGGGCGTCGATGCGCAGGGCGCCAAGAAGGCCGTGGAGGGCGCCAACAAGCAGAGAGATGCGCCTGGCGCAAAGGCACCAACAGGGCCCAAGGCCGAGGCGAAGCAGGCTGAGGCAAAGAAGACGGAGACAGTGAGTAGCCGGTCAGTGCTCAGGGTGCGGAAGGCGGGGTGCGGGGTGCTGTCGAGCTGCAGTGTTAGGCGAGGGGATGAGGCGCGAGGAACGGTCGTCTTCTGCGCCCATGCTGCATGCTAGAGCGCAGCTGTGATCGTCTCTTCCAGCTGTATCTCTCGTCCGCGCATCCCTCCCGGCTTCTCAGTCTGACCATCCCTCCTCGCAGCCTGAGGAGAAGGCCGCGCGCGAGGCGCGCCACGCCGCCGACGAGGCCGCCAAGGCCAAGCGAGCGGCGCGCTTCGGCACTGCCGCGTCAGCAGCCGCTGCGAGCCCCGCTGCGGCGCCGAAGGCAGCTGCTGCGCCGGCGGATCCGGAGGAGGAGGAGCGCAAGCGGAAGCGCGCGGAGAAGTTTGGCGCTGCGGGCGGCGCGGAGAAGAAGGCCAAGGCTGCCTAGAGGACGTCAGGGCGACGCCGGGCTGTGCGGGTCATGCTCGGCCAACGTTGCTTCGTCTGCGCTGTCGCGTGCTGCAATCACACGCTGGCTCCTGCTGCTCGTTGCGCCTGCGTGTGGCTGAGAAGACATGGACAATGTGGATCAGCCGGCACCGGCTGGAGGCACCAGCGCAGTCCGCGAGACCGATGCTAGCACGCTGCCACACGTCACTGCTTCACTTCGCAAATCTTCAGCGGGTCGTCAGGTGATGTATTAAGAGCGAAGTGAAGTAGTGCGGTGGCGAGTGCTGCGAATGTGTGGCCTGGTGGACCCACGAGCATGACGCATTTGCGGCACACGCACGCACGTCTACTCCCTCTGCTCTCGTGCACCGAGAAGTCGTGCTTGTACGGGGGAGAGGGTAGAGAGCGAGAGCGAGATGCGCCAAGCAGACGCGCTTAGTTGTTGAAGACGCCTCCCGGCGTGTACGGCGTCTCGCAGAAGTCGGGCGTGGTGGGGATGGGCGTGCACGTGCCGTCAGCATCCTTGACTTCGGGCGTGTCGAGCTTCTCGGCGATGGACGAGGAGATCGAGGCTTGACCGCCGTGGTTGCGACCCTGTGAAGGGGGGGAGAGACGTGTCAGTCGGAGCTACGTGTCTGCTGCAGAGCAGAGCTGATGAAAAGGCCTACGAACTTGAGTGCAATACGCGTGGTATCTTCAGTACACGGTGTTAGCCATGGCAGGTAGAGCGGATGGCACGAGCGGAGGTGCACTCACGTTCCCGTGGAGCTGTACGCCTCGCAGCCACCCCATGCCACCGTGTTGGAAGTCGCACTCGAGTGGCAGAGCGAGAGATAAGCGGAGCACACCTCGTCGGTGAGGTAGATGGAGTGCTCGTAGAAGAAGCGCAGCTCCTGGCACTTGACGTCCGGGGTCTCGCGCTCGAGCGAGCACGACGAGTTGAGGCCGTCGCGCGCCTGGAAGGGCGAGTCGAGCGCGCTGCGCGCCTGCATGAAGGGCGCGGCGAGCGCGGCCGAGGCGAAGACGGCGGAGAGAAGAGCGAGGGTGAACTTCATGATGAGTGAGGTGTGAGGTGGTGTGTTGTGAGGTGGCTATGAGAGGCTGGGTGAGGAGAGAGGAAGAAGCGAAGCCAAGGCCGCTTCTTATACCTGCGAGGTCCCGCTCGATGCTGCTTGGCGGCCCGGATCGAGCTCCTCAGCCGGGCGGCTTCCATCAGGCACCAGCAGCAGCACAGCCTCATCGTTCTCTCTTGCGGATCTCGCCCGAAAAAGGTGCTCTATGAGCGCCGGAGTGCCACGGCTAAAGCGGCGCTCGGATCCGGCGCGCGTGGGCGAGGTCATCGAGGCGAGAGGAGGCGTCGCGCCTGCTGCGGTCCGCTCTCGTAGGCGAGATCGAAGACGCTCATCAACGTCCAGGACGCCCCGAGATGCTCTCTCCCCTCGCGGGCCCGGGACCCCGAGGGCACCACTGCTGCTAGCTGCTGCCGCTGATGAGACGAGGTGGGCGTGAGCGGGTGAGAGGCGGCGTTGCGCCCCGCCGGCCGCCGGAGCTTTTTGTCCGGACGCGCCCCTGAGGAGCAGCGAGCCGCGCGGCGCGCGGCGCTGCGAGGTACAGACACGGCCAGGGAGCCACCTCCTCAGGAGACGTGGCCCACAAGACTATTCGCCCTCTTGCGGGTGATGAAGCAAGCCCGAAGGTTTCTCTCGTGCGTCTTCAGCTGCAGCGATGGATGAGGATGAGATGAAGCAGCTCGCCATTGGGGACCAATCCGAGCGTTAGCGCCGGGGCCGCGCTGCCCCGACGGCGGCCCGACGCCGACGCCGAGGCGCGCCGTCCTGCATCTTGGCGCTCGAGCCTCCTTCTCGCCGCCAACGCAGGCTCCCATGAGCGATGAGAGCGACGGCGGCCAGCAGACGGCGCGGGAAGATGTGGAGCGGAAAGCGGGGTGGTGGTGCGCAGTAGCGAGAGTCGCTGCTGCTGCTGGCAGAAATGGAATTGATTGTGCGGCACGCGCGCGCGCGCGCGCGCGTGTTGCTTGGCGCGGCCGCGCACCAGCGGCGCCTGCCTCCTCTCCCCCATCCCCTCCCGCACACTTGCACCCGCGCATGTCTGCCCCGCCCGCCGCTGCAGAGAAGCAGCCGCCGGGCGCCGTCGCCGCCGTGCAGCGCTGCACGGCGGCCATGGATGCGTACGCCGCGCGCCTCGACGCGCGCACCGAGCAGCGCCGCCGCCGCCTTAAGCACGGCGCCGACGACGACGAGGCGCCCGAGGCGCCCGGCAGCGGGCCGCCGCGCGAGCCGGGCTTTGCGCGCGGCGAGGGCCCGCTGATGCGCTATGCCATGGTGCCCGTCGTCATCGTGCTCGTCGGCTGGGTGTACGGCGGTGCGTGCGCCGCGCTCCTGACGCCGCTGCGCCGCTGACCGCCAGCGCTCGGCAGTGTTTGCGGCGCGCATCTGCGTGCCGGCGATCCGCCAGACAGAGCAGGCGCTCGCACCGCGGGCCACCGGCAGTGAGTGGTGGCAGAGGCGCGCCGAGCGTCCGCACTGACGCGGCGCCGCAGCTGGCCTCCTCGTCGCGGCCACGATCCTCACGCTGCTCAGTGAGTTGGGCAGGTGCGCGCGCTGCGCCAGACGCTCACGCGCCGCAGCCCTGTGGACATACATGCGCATCTTCTTGACGCCGCCGGGCTTCGTGCGCGACCACGTTGGCGTCTCCGACACGCCCGACCCGGCCGCCGATGAGTACTACTATTCGGCGCCCTGGGCACCCGCCGGCGCGCTGCACTTTGGCCAGGGGCAGGCGCCAGCAAGCGATGCAGCGCCGAGCGCGCCGCCGGAGCAGAGCGCTGCCGACACGACGGCAAGGGCGCCGCCTGCAGAGCAGAGCGTCACAGAGGCCGCCACAGAGGCCGCAGCGCCGACGACCGTGCCGGTGCCGCAGGAGGTGCCCGACGCGCCCGAGGCCCCTGCGCTGCCGGCGCTCGTCGGTCCGCTGGGCGCGGCCGCGCTGCAGCCGTCGGCGCCCGTCGTCGCCATGGCAGCGCCGCATCCCGCGAACGGCAGCGAGGTGCCGCCGTGGAGCGGCCTCATCCCGCGCCCCTCGCGCATGCCGGCGGCCAAGCCGGTCCTCGCGCCGGCGCACCGCTACTGCCACCGCTGCATGCGTGTACGCCCGCCGCGCGCCCACCACTGCCGCCGCTGCGGCACGTGTGTCATGCGCATGGACCACCACTGCCCCTGGATCGGCGGTTGCGGTGAGTGTCGCAAGGAGCGGCAGCAGCATGCGCCGCACTGACCACTGCTGCTCTCAGTCGGGGCGCAGAACCACAAATTCTACTACAGTGCGTCGCGCGGCCTGCTCGCGCATGTCCGAAGCTGACGCGCCGCCAGATTTTGTCTTCTGGGTGACGGGCCTCGAGCTCTTTACGATGATCTCGTCTGCCGTGCTGTTTGCTCGCGGCGTGCGCGGCGCGGCGCCCTACGACGCCTGGCGGACCGACGGCTTTGTGATCAGCCTCTTTGCCATGTGAGTCGAGTGTCGCAGGATGGAGTACTGCGCCGTCACGCTGACGCGCGCGCAGCACGGCCATCTTCACGCTCTTCACCCTCTCGCTGCTGCTCACGCACACGTACCTGCTGCACCTCAATCTCACGACGCTCGAGCACATGGCGGTAGAGCGCTCGGCGGGTGCCGAGCGTGCCGCGATGGACGGCTACTTCTCGAGCGCGGGCGCCGCGGGCGCGGGCATGCACCTGCGCGAGCGCCGCGCGCTGCGCCGCGAGTGGGACGCCAAGTGGGGCGCGCCGAAACGGCAGGGCAACCTGTGGTGGATCGACCGGCGCGCCGCGCCCGCTGACGGGCCGACGAGCAACTGGCGCAGCGTGATGGGCGAGAGCGTGCTGGGCTGGATCTGTGAGTCGCGCGCGCGTGTGCCGCGTCGACGCCAGCGCTGACGTCCTCGCAGTGCCCGTCGGCCAGGCGCCGCTCGACGGCACCTGGTTCCCGACGAATCCGCGCCACTCACGCCTGGGCGTGCTGCGGCCACGCGAGATGTGGCCGGCCGAGCTGCGCGACCGCTGAGCGAGCCGGATGCCAGTCCCGCGCTCGCAGATACCCATGGGCATGCGTATGCCCCGGAAGTCACCATTTACTCATGTTATTGCTCTGAGCTGAGCGCGCTAGCGATATGACCAGGCTTCCTCGGCGGAGTCTGTGCGAGAAGGTCGGGGTCCTGGAGTTTGTCGAGCTCGTCGCGGATGCACAGCCTCTCTACAGCTTCGCATCGTCGACGCCGTCGGGCGCGTCGCTGCCGTCGGCTGCGCCGCTCTGCCACAGGCGCACGAGCTCGCGGTCGGGCAGGCCGGCCCAGGCGGCGTCGCGCAGCACCTCGAGTGTGTGCTCGCCGGCGCCGAGGAGCATGTGCGGATCGGTGTCCTCGGCGCCCGACGCACCCGCAGGCCGCGGTGCCGGTGTGCGGCTGAGGCGCGGCGCCGGTGCCGGCACGACGACGCCCTCGGCGTGCTCGCTGCCCGCAGCCGGCAGCACGGCCTGCGCCGCCTCGTCGCGCGTCAGCACCGGCACGACGCATGCGTCCGTGCCCGTGAAGCGCTGCGTCCAGTCGTCGCGTGTCCGGGTGCGGAAGACGGCGTCGAAGTAGGCGCGCAGCTGCGGCCACGTGCTGCGGTCGTTCTGTGTAGCAGGCGCGGGCGCCGAGGTGCCGGATGGTGCGTCTGGTGCCGCCGCCGCTAGGATCTGGAGGCACTGCCTGTAGAAGGGCGCCTCGATGGCGCCGCTGCAGAAGCATGTCAGCCCACTGCTGGCCCATCGTAGACTAGTCGCTGCACTCACACGCTCATCCAGCCGCCGTCCTGCGTCTCGTACACGCCGTACCACGGCGCGCCGCCCGCCAGCGCGCCCTCGCCGCGGCTCTCGTTTGTGCCGCTGCCGATGATGCTGCCCCACTGCGGGTGCTCAAGATAGCTGCCGAGTAGCGAGAAGGTAGCGAGGTAGCGCGCGCCCGTGACCATGTCGGCCTCGACGACCTGGCCCTTGCCGGAGCGCGAGCGCTCGAACAGCGCCAGCAGGATGCCGAGCAGGCAGATGAACGAGCCGCCGGCGAAGTCGCCCAGCAGGTTCGACGGCGGCTCGGGCGGGCCGCCACGGCGCGTGCCGAGCATAGAGAGCAGGCCAGAGAGGGCAACATAGCTGTGCCGTGTTCAGTGCGCGTGCGGCAATGCAGCGAGCTGCTGGCACACTCACTTGATGTCGTGGCCGGCCATGTTTGCGTACGGGCCTGGTGCGTGGTCAGCACTTGCGCTTGCCTGCACTCTAGCGCAGGCTGCTCCTCCTGCAATCCTCGTGCGCCACTCACCCTCGCGCTGGAAGCCGGTGAGGCGCGCGAAGACGACGCCCTCGTTGGCACGCACGCCGTCGCCGCCCGCCTGCACGGCCGCGGGGCCGAGCCCCAGCCGCTCGAGCACGCCGGGGCGGAAGGGGTCGATGACGACGTCTGCGCGGCTGGCGAGCGTGCGCAGTGCCAGCTTGCCCACCGGGTGTTTGGGGTCGAGCGCGACGCTGCGCTTGCCGCGCGCCAGCGTGTCGGCGTTGAGGGCGCCGCCGACGCGGTCGACACGCACGACGTCGGCGCCAAAGTCGGCGAGCACGAGGCCGACCATGGGGCCGGGCGCAAGGCCGGCAAACTCGAGGACGCGCACGCCGGAGAGGGGCAGCGACATGGTGTGTGGTGGTGGAGGGAGAGGAAGGAAGGAGCAGGCGCAGCGCCGGCGCCGGCACGAGGCGCGGCCCGGCAGCGCGTTGCCCGGCGAGGGCGCGCGCGCGGCGGGCGCGGGCGAGGGCCGCACGCCGCACCCTTCGCTCGCTGCACCGGCCGTTGCCTGCTGCTGCTGTGCTGTGCACCTCGCTGAAGCACCGTGCTGCGTCGGCTGCGCCGTGCTGATCTTCGCGCTTGCAGCATGCCACAGGCCGCCGCTGCTGCTCTCCGCGCCGCTCGCTCGCCTCGCTTGGCGCGCGTGACATCGCCATGCCCGATGGCCGAGTGCGGGGAAGCTGCGCCCGTCTCGCACGGCCCAACTCCGACGGTTGCAGGCGGTAGGGTGACGGTACAGGCACAATCCTGGGGAAGGAGCAGATAATGGGACGAAACAGATGACTTGTCGTGACAAAGGGCCGAGGTGGAAGAAGCGGTGAGCGAGCCGTTCAGCAGATGATGCACTTCTCGGCATCGGCGTCGGTGACTCGGACTCCGAGCTCGAACATCTGATGCACGCCAGTCAGCGACACGCAGGGCAGAGCGATGCACATGCAAGCACACACCTCTTCCTTGCGGCGGTCGCTCTCGTTCTCCTTGTCCTTCTCCGCAACTTCGCGCGGAAACCAGGCCTTCATGAAGTTTGTCGCCGCCTCGTCGACGTTGCCTGGTCGATAGGTGTCAGTCACGGGCTCAGGGGCGCAGGCCGGATACACTCACGGCCATCGGCAGTGCCCACGACGCCCTTGGAGCGGCACAGCGGGCAGTCGACCTTGCCCTTCTTCTGCAGCTTGACGAGGCAGCGGATGCAGAAGAGGTGGGAACAGTCGAGGCGGATGGGCCGCCATGCTACACCCGTGCAGATGGCACATGAGTAGTCGTCGATGCTTGGCAGAATGGGCAGCAGTGTCGAGGTGAGCAGCGAGAGCAGAATGTGCGGCAGACTCTCCGAGAGCAGGCCTGTCGTGCTCGACGGCAGCAGCGCCGCGAGCGAGGGATGTGTCGGCACCAGTGCGCCACCGGCACTGCCGCCGAACGCCTCGGGCGAGACGTCCACCAGGCCCGAGAGACCCACACCGGCCACCATAGCGCGCGCTCGAGCAGCCTCCTGCTGCGCCATGAAAGTGCGCAGGTCCGAGCTGGCCGTGAGCGCCGTGCGTTTGTCATGCTTCTTGAGAATCTTGCGCGCCGCCTCGACGTTGACGCGCTGAAACTTCTTGACGTCGAGCAGCGCCAGATTCAGGCGCAGGAAGTCCTCGAGCGCCGTGACGGAGCGCGCGTCCTTGAGCGGCAGGTCGCCGCCGCTCGAGGCACTGCTCTTCTCGCCCTTGCGCAGGCCCATGCGTTTGGCGAGGCCCTTCTTCTGCGGCGCGCTCGGCGGCGCAGCATCGACAGCCCAGCCGCGCTTGGCCAGCTCTTCGGCGAAGCGCTTGAGGCGCGCCTCGCTCTCGTCGACGCTCAGCTCGCCGCGATCCTTCTCGCGCTGGCTCTCGAAGATCTGCATCTCCACGTAGAGGCTGAAGATCTCGCGCCATACGTAGAGGTCGCTCTTGGAAGCATACGGGCTGGCCACGCGCGCCACGGTGCTGCAGAGTGAGTTGGTCTGCTTGACGAAATTGTCGCGCTGCTGCGTCTGCAGGCTCGACAAGTTCGCCAGTGCATTGGTGAGCGTGTCGAGGAACTCCGAGTCGGCCGTGAGCGGAATGACAATCTCGCGATGCCGCATGCGCCGCTTGTGCACGCCTGCATCGCCAGAGTCGACCACATCTGCGGGCGAGGAGGCTGCAGCCTCGGCGGCCGCGTCTGCTGCGTCCTGCGGCGGCAAGGGCAAGCCCGGGTCCGGCAGCGAGAGAGCGGCAGGCGCAGGCCGGATTGTGTCTGCGACCGAGCGCGGGCTGTCGGGCAGGTCGGTGATGCGAGCCTCGTCCTCATCGTCTGCGTCGCTGTCGTCTGCTGCCCCGCCATCCTCCTCGTCGGAGTTGACGGGCGACTCGACGAACAGTCGGATGCGGGGGATCGGGTGCTCCGGAGTACCGCCAAGCTCGTACTCTGCGCGCGCTCGTCGCCCATCCTTGCCCTTCACCCAACGGCCGCCCATACCGCCGGCGGGACTGCTGGCCGTTGGTGGCGGGCTCGTCTTGCGCGGCGGCGCAGACTTCTCGCCCGCCTGCTTCCACAGGTCAATGCCCGCACGCTCGCGCCATGCCTGGCCGCCCCAGTCGTGCCGTTCGTCATCGCCCGCGGCCCCTGACGACGCTCGACGCTCTGTAGGTCCCATCTTTCTCGGCGCAAGGCCCGTGGCGCCGCCCACGTCGCTGGGCCGGCCGGTGCGCAGAGCGGCGAGGTCCTTCTTGCCCAGGCCGTGCCAGGGCCGCTCGGCCGCTTCATCGTCTGCGCTGGCGCCAGCGCTGCTTTGCGAGCTCGATGGCCGAGCTGAGGACGGTCTGCGCGCGCCGGGCGCCGGCTTGAAGCGCGGGCGGAGCACTTCCACCGGCGCATCATCATCCGCGTCAACGGCCGACTCGGAGTCGACAGATACGTCGCGAGAGTCTGAGCCGTCTGCTCGCTGACTCTCGCTGGAGGAGCTGCCAGAAGCGCGCAGGCGGCTGCCGCGGCTGAGTGCCGAGCTGTGGCGCCGGGCGCGCGACGGCGGCACCATACTTGAGAGCCACTCGGCGGCAGGCGATGAGCTGAGCGCATGCGAGGCACTGTCCTCAGAGTCGACGGCTTCATCGTACGCGCTGCCGGGCAGCTCAAGATGGTCACGCGGCACAACCGTCGGCTTGCTCTCCGCGCGCTTGGCATACGCCGTGCCCTCGATGAGTGGGCTCAGCACGCTGCTGCCGCTGCGCAGCTTGCCCTTGCCCGCCGGCGCCGCGCCCTCGTCTGCGCTCGAGTCTTCGCTGCTCTGCGAGCGCTCGCGCGAGCCCGAAGAGTCACGGCGGTGTCCCGAGCCAGGCGCATGGCGGGTGCCAGACGCAGGCGCGGCTGGCCGGCGGCGGCCCGCCGACTCCTCGTCCTCGTCATCGCCGTCTGCGCCCTCGGGCGGGAGCATGAGGTCGCGCAGCACGTCTGCGCCCAGGCCGAGCGACTCGAGCTCGGCGACGACGCCATTGATGAGCTTCTTGAGCTGCGCGCAAGTCGTCAGCGCTGGACCCAACGCAGGGTCACTGCGACGTTTGCCATTCTTCTCCGCCTCGCCCACTGCACCTGCCTCGTCTCGCCACTAGACCTGCCCCGGCCATTGACTCACATGCTTGTACTCGATGGCGCCCTGCCGCCACTCCTCGGGGAAGGAGGGGCTGGCGAGCGTCTCCATGTACGACTTGCCAAACTTCATGGCGGGCAGTCAGACGCAGAGAGCGGGAAGTAAGAGTGTCGGTTGCGATGCGGCGGGATCACGAAGACGCAGCACAGCGGGCAGCGGGGCGCATGGCCCAGGCTGGCGTGACGAGGGCCGAGCGTGGCCGAGCGCAAGGGCGCGGCGAGCAATGACGCGTGCGTGGAGGCAGGCAGCGAGGCGGAGAGCGAGCTGGTGGGTGCAGCAGCTGAGTCGCGTGAGGTGATGGTGGTGGTGGCAGCGACAGCCGCAGCCTCTGCCTCGCGCTGCAGGACAAGGGAAGCCGGGTGCGGAGCAGAGGCAGATGCAGGGTGCTGCAGCGGCAGCGAAGCCTCGGCGGCGCGGCCGGCAGAACCGCCGCGTGCCTCTATCCTGGCGCGGGAAGCCGCATAGAGGCCCCGGCCGCCATGCCGTGACGCTGCCGCGGCACGCTGCCGGCGGCTCGCGCCTCCAGCTCTCAGGTCGGCACGGCGCGCGCGACCTGCAGCCTGAGCGCACCTCCCGATGCCGGCTGCGCTGCGACCTCTCGCTCTGTGGCCGCCATCGCCATGCATCAGCTGCCTCTCTATGGACTCGAGAATGGCAGAATCTGGACCGGCGCAGCGGCAGACCTGGCGGGCCATGAGGCTGCAAAATGCAAATATGCCGTCTGCCGCGCCGCCGAGCTCGGCGCGCCCCTTGGCAGCGCACGCGCGCGGCCAGCGCCGCGCCTCGTGCGCACGTGCGCGGTCCAGAACGTGCGCCTGCCCCCCCCCCCCTGACCCTGAGCGCTGACGGAGCCTCGGCCATGGTAGAGAGCCGCTGGGCTGTGGCAGGTCCTGGGCGGGTGCTTGCGCAAGTTGAGCATGGTCACTCGCTCCAGCCTCAGGAGGCCACACACTTGGTCTCACACCCAGCACTAAGCTCGAGTCGCAGCTCGCGCTACACTCAGCAACAAGAGTTTGAACAGATCCACTTCAGACGCGCGTGAAGCAGCGAGCGAGAGAGACAGAGGGGAGAGACAGTGGGGCGCCGGCCAGGCGGGGTGGATCCGGGAGGGAGGCAATCAGGTCTGGGGGTGAGGGTAAGTGAGGGCGGCGCAAGGAGGAGAACGCCGCCGGTGAGGCGGGGTATGGGAAAGGTGTGGGTAATGTGCGATGGAATGGATGGGCGCTTTGTCGACGGCTCAGCAGCGCGCTTCGAGGCTGTTGCCGTCGCGGCGCACCGGGCAGTCCTTGACAGGCACAAACTTGACTGAGTCGATGAGCATCGTGGCGCTGGAGCCCGCGGTGCTGCAAGCGAACCAGAACTTAATCTTGCTAATCTCGCTCACGTCGCTGATCGTCTTGGTGTAGGTGCTCCACACCTGATTCATGTTGAAGTTCATCATCGTTGGGCTCGAGATTCCGTTTGCGTTCCACGACATTGCAAACGAACAAGCAGCGGCGCCGCCGGTGGCGGTCCCGCCGTTGTAGCTGACAATCTTGTAGAACAGCTTTACGTCGTACTTTTTGTAGCCGTCCGATCCGTCGAGGGGGTAGCGCGCCGGTAGCACAATCTGCTGCGACATCGTCGCCCCGCTTCCGCCTGCGGCAGCAGACAGCTGGGCGTAGTGCAGGCCGTCCTTGGCAGTCTTGTCGCTGTTGCTCAGAGTCGTGCCGGTGACCACCCACGGCGAGAGGTCAGAGGCTTCGAATCGCCCATTACGGGCCGCGTTGAGCAAGTCCTTGATGGGCGTGAATGACACCTGGTCAATGAAGACAACCGCGTTGGCAGTCGCGTCGCATTCCAGGCCGATGCTGATACTCTTGACGACCTCGCCGTCCTCGCTCTCGATGGGGCCAGAGAAGTCGACCCAGCCGGGGAACGAGTTTCCGAAGGCGTATTCCATGGTCCCGAGTTTTGTCCGGCTGCCGTCCTGGGAGAAGTAGAGATAGCACAGGCCGCCGGAGGACGTGAACTCCTTTCCTCGCCACTTCATTGCGACGCTATAGCCATAGTACCCGTCGTAAAGCGAACGCGGAGGCATCACGAGTGTCTGAGAGACCTTGCCGCCTGGCTTGAGCTCCACGTACTTCGTATTTTCCCACATCGGATCTGCGCCGGAGACCATGGCGTCGCCAGCGAAGTTCCACGAGCTGGCGCCTTCCTCGAAGTCGCCGTCGCGTGCAACGTCAGTCGGCTCTGTCTTGGGCGGCGGCACGTACTCGGTCGGTTCAAAATGCACGTTGTCCATGTAGATCGTCGCTGTGTAACCCGAGCTGCAGCTCAACCCGAAGCCGATGTTCTTGATGAAGCCGTCTTCCTTCCCGATGTATGAGCTGAAGTCGATGAAGCCACTGAACGGAGTGTCGAATGGAGTGAGAGTGGCGTCGACCTGGGCGTTGTCCTGGGTGATGTAGACCTGGCACTTGCCGGTGCCTGTGCTGCCCGCAGCGTACGCCTGTACATGCCACTTGAACCGGACGCGGTACGCTTGGTAGCCCTGGTAGAGTGAGTTGTCCGGCATCTTGATGTCCTGGCTAATCGAGTCACCGCCCTGGAGGATTGCATACTGCTGATCGTACTCCGAGTTGATCGTGCCAATGCTGCTCTGGCCTGCGAAGGTCCACTGCTCCTTGCTGCTCTCGAACCCACCGTTACGGGCAACGTCGGTCGGCTCCGTCTTTGGCGTGTATGCCTTCGGCAAGAACTGGAACAAGGGATGAGCGCGAGAAACGGAGGGTAGGAGAGAGAGGATGGGCAACTCACCTGGACCTGGTCGACGGCCACCAGAGTTGACGCCATGCCGCCGCACGATGTGCTGATCTTGATGTTCTGAACACAGTCCATGTCGCTCGTGAGGGTGGCCTCGTAGGTGCCCCAACCGCTGGCGCTGTCGATTGTGCGTTTGTCGACGTCGGCGATGGGAAGGTCATCGTGGCTGACTCCGATCTGACAGGTGCCGCTGTTGGCCCCGCCCCCAAAGTCGTACTCGAAGACCCGGTACTCAAACCTCACAACATACTGATAGAAGCCTCCTGACCCTGTCGTCCCGTCGGGAGGGAGCTGGACTTGCTGACTGATCGAATCCTTGGTGTGGCCCTGGAGGACCGCATACTTCTTGCCGTTGCCGTCCTTTGGGTATGACGTCCCGATGGCCGCATCGCTGGCAAACGTCCACGACTCTGCTCCGTCCTCAAACCCGCCATTGACGCACACATCGTCTTTCTTTGGCGGCGTCGTCGGCGGCGTCGTCGTTCCCGGCGCCCTGCTGAGGACTTGGACAACATCGATGTAGACGTCTGCCAGAGCATTCTGGTAGTCGCCGCAGTACGATTCGATCTGGATTGCCTTGATCAAATCCGCGTCGTTGGTGACGGTGACCGTAAGTTCAGTCCACGTCTTGCTGACGTCCGCTGCGCTCAGATACACCTGCTTTGTCGGTGGCTCGTCGTCGTAAGACACATCCAGCCTGCAGGCAGGCTGGCCGGCGTTTGCCTTGCCCCCGTAGTAGCTGTCGAGTCGGTATTTGAACTTGATGTCGTACGAGTTGAAGCCTGCCACCTTTGTGCCGGCGGGCATCTCAAGGAGCTGGCGTGCGGTGCCACCCTCGCGGTAGAGACGGAGGTAGTAGTCGCCGTCCGGCGGTACCACGCCAACGAGTTTGACGACCTCGGCTTTGCCCACCAAGGTCCAGGGGTCCTTGCCGCTCTCAAAGCCGCCATTCCTGGCGACATCGGTTGCCGTGAAGGCAGGCTCCTCCGGCGCCAAGGGAACAAAGTTGACGTCGTCGATGTGAACGGTTGTGGTGCCGCCGTCGGGGCAGTCCATGACAATGAAGAGGTACTGGATGGCCTCGTCGCTCTTGACGTTGGCGCGCAGCTCCTTCCACTCGCTGCTTGCGCTGGTGTACCGCACGACACCACTGGCGTCTGGCGCCTTTCCGTCGTAGAGGACAGCCAGGCGGCAGCCCTTTGCTCCAGCGTTGGCAATCTTGTTCACACGGTACCTCAGCGAGACGTCGTATGCGCTGGGGATCTGTGTGTCGCGCGCCTCGAGGCCGTCTCTTCTCGTCGGCGGCGGCTCTGTGTACGGCTGCTGGTACAGTCCGGGGCCTCCAGCCTCGTTGACTTCCAGAATTGCGTAATGTGTCCCGTCCCATGCGGTATAGTCAACGTCGCTGCGCTTTGTCTCTCCGATCGTCTGCCATGGCGCGAGACCGCCCTCGTCATCCTCAAAGTGGCCGTTGTCCGAGACGTTGCCGACTTCATCTGTCGGTGGGTTGGGCGTCGGGTTGGTCGGCGTGGAGGGGTCCTGGGGCGAGGAGGGGTCCTGAGGCGCGGAGGGGTCCTTGGGCGTCGTAGGGGGCGTCGTAGGATCCGGGTTTGGCGTCGTCGCCGGCGCCGCGCACTTGTGGTCCGTGCAGATGCCGGACAGGCACTGTGGCGCAAAGGATCAGCCCGCAGTTGGCATCAGGAGACGTACGGAGGGGCACGCACGCCGGCTGGCTTGTAGCAATCGGCGCCAACGGGCTGCGGCACGGCGCACTTGGACTTGCCACAGTACGTTGATGCGCACGACTTGCTTGTCTCGCACCGCTCGCCAAGCGTCAGCACGGCCCCGGCGACGCAGCGCTTCTCCGAGCACTTGTTGGAGATGCACTGTGGAGCAGCACGCGCAGAGAGGCGGCGTTGGGGGTCAGCAAGCAATTGAGGAAAGGAATGCCAGGTTCACGCACGCCGATTGACTTGTAACACTTTGAACCGAGCTTCTTGCGGACGTCACACTTGCCGCGACGGCAGTAGAGGTCCTTGGTCCCGCACTGGCTCGACTTGGTGCAGGGCCAGCCGAGGTGGCGCTCGTTGCCAACGACGGCGCTGGCGTCGGCAGGCTCCGCAGGCGCGGGGAGCGCGGCAACCAGCGGCAGCGCCGCCAGGAGGAGGGGGAGGAAGCGCATGGGCGGAGGGGCGGAACTTGCTGGAGGGCGAGCAGCAAGACCGTTGCGACAAGCATCTTTATGGAGTCTTTGCTGCAGCAACAGCCTTACGGCGCCTGGCATGAAAGCAGTGAAGAGACACCGTCATGCTGGTGTCTACACTGGCTGCCATGAGAGCAGCTTGCAGACACCAGCATGCCAGTGCTTGCGCCAAGCCTCCATGCTTGCCGCATTCTGTCGGCGTTGGCTGTCCGATGGGATTCTACAGACACCCGACATGCAGACAGGAGCATGCCCGGCGGCGCACCGCTCCCGCGGGGCCTTCTTGCGCCCCCCGAGCAGCTCTGGCGAGCGCACGGTGCTGGAGCGGTCTCCTTGCTGCCTGTGGGCGCTGCGATCCCCGCAGCCGAGTTGTCGGAGGCGCCGCCGCGTGCGGATCGTGGATCTGAGGAATGGCAAGGAGTGGCCAGATGCAGCGCGACATGTGTCAGGTGTGGGACCTTGCCGGCAAGCAGGGCTGCGAGGCTTCTGCAGTGCAGCAGCCATGCGAGCATGGGAGTGGCGGACTGCAGTGCTGCTGCCCACCTGTCCGGTGTTGAGTCGGAGCCTCGCGGCGGGATCTGCAGCCGCAGAACTACCCGAGGTGAAGCGAGCAACAAGGGAACGGCGGAGACGGAGCGCAGTACGGCCACATGCAGAATGGGGGACCGGGCTTGCGCTGGCATCTGCCATCGGACAGCACGCAGCACGCAGCACCTCATGTGTGGCGCTGGTCCTGCCGCCAGCTGTTCACACGCCGCATGCCTTGGCTGGCGCTGGCCAGGGTCAGGTCCCAGGGTCCAACTCGGACCGGAAGTGCCAGATGCAGGATGCATGCAGCGTGGCGCTGCGCCGGCTGCTGTTTGGCGGCATGCCGCTGCTGCCCTGGTGCCTGCTGCGTCCCCCTCATGCAGGCCGCTTCCACCGCCAGAAGCCCTCCTGCGCTGTGCTGAGTGCCTCATGCCGTGCCGCCGCACTGATGTTGCTGGGCAGTGCGGTACAGCGCCGCGTGCCTCGGACCAACCTGCAGCTGCAGGACATGTGCGCCGCACCGTCGGAGTTACCATCATGCGCATGCGCCATGCGCCGGTGCGCCGACACTGACCATCTCTGCGCCTCCTGGGCTCTGGGCGGCGCAGCGCATCAATCTACTTCCGTGTCCGGAGTGACGCTGCGCCCTTTGGTCCTGCGCTTTGAGGCTGCTTCTGCGTACCGTACTGGAGTGCAGGACCGCAGCACGGCATACTGCACATTTGCCCTCCCACCAAGCTCACACTGCACCTGCACTTCACTCACGAGAGATCAACCAGATACACTTCACACGCACGTGTAGCAGCAAGCAAGAAAGACGGAGGAGAGAGACAGGGGGGGCAGCGGCCAGGCGGAGGTGCCCTGGCCGCAGTGGATCCGGGGAAGGAGCGAGCAGGTCCGGAGGTGGCCTTCAGACCAGCACTGGCTTTCCTGAATTATATTCCGGGAACTTGAAGGGCCGCGACGCCGAGGCCATCACCGTGCTCGACTTCATCGCGCGCGAGAACGGCCGGGAGAACAGCTCGACACTCGAGATGCTGCGCGCCGCCTAGCACGGCTTCACAGAGACGGCCTCCGCCGCGAGGGGCCTCGAGAAGGAGAAGGAGGCTGGCGCGCACGACGCAGCGCCCGCTGCGCCCGAGCCCGGCACTCCGGGCCTGGCGAGCTACCAGGGCGCTGCGTTCGGCTTCGAGCTCGCGGACCTCAAGCTCAGCGTGAAGCAGTTCGACGAACGGCATGGGCGCATGCTCTTCTCTTCCCCTCGCATGACGCTCAACACGTGCCTGGTACGTCCTGTCGGCTCTCCTGGCAGGTCCGAGCTGACCTTTCGGCGGCAGATCTGCCCCTGCTGTGGTGTCATCGGCATTGCGTACGCGCTGCCCAACTCATTTATCGCGCTGTACGTCGGCACGATCGGCGACGAGGACTCGTCGCAGGCCACTGGGCAGCTGGTCATCATTGCTGCGTGCGGCGTTCCTGGCTCGCTGATCGCGAGCGTCGCCGTCGAGCTGCCATACCTGGGACGCCGCTTCAGCATGGCATTCTTCACCCATGCTGACCGGCCTCTGCCTCTTTCTCTTCACCACGGCGAGCACGTCGAGCGCCGTGCTGGGCTGGAACTGTGAGTGCGACCGATGTGGCTCTCTCGCACCGGAACTGACGCAGCAGGACCAGGCGGCGCCTCGCTCGCGCAGAACGCAATGGACAGCATGCTCTACCACCTCACGTACGAGCTGTTCCCCTCGCCGTGTCGCGGCACGGGCGACGGCCTGGCCATGGGCGTGCAGGTGCGTGTGTGCCCGTCTCCGCCCTTGCTATCGGCTCGCATCTGCGCAGCGCATCTTTGGCATCTCGGCGCCGCTGATCGCCGCGTACGCCTCGTCGACGTCGCCCACGGCGCCTGTCTCCGTCAGCGCCTCGCTGTTCCTCTTTGCCTCGCTCCTGATGCTCCTCTTGCCATACGAGACGCGCGGCGTCGAGGCGCTGCAGCGCAATCGATCTCTGCTTGCAGAAGTGCTATTGTGTCTGCGCCGCCTCAGCCTCTCTCTTCTCTCGCATGCCCACCAACCGTGCCCGCAGCCACTCGCCCGGCCTGGCCTTTTCGCCCTCCTCGCCAGCTCGCAGACCCACGGCGCCCGCCCGGCCCAGATCGCGCCACCAGGCACGCAGCTGCTCGAGTCTGGCGCGTGCGCGCATGATCGGCCCCGGAACGTCGCCGTCAAGGAACGGCGGACGCAGCGCGGCAGCAAGGCGTTGCCGGCGCGGCTTTTGAGCCGGCGTCGAGGAGAGCGTGCCCGGCTGATGGGAGAGCAGCGCGGCGTGCACGAGCAGTATGCCTTCGCGCGACTGCAGACGGCCCTTGGCGTCAGCATTCGAGGAAGCCGAGGCAGGACAGGAGGGCTCACCGTGTCTGCATGCGCAATGAAGCGCTTGAGGCCAAACTTCTCAATGCGCCGCCCCAGCACGCTGATGTTGCTGGTAATGTGGCCGCGCGAGAGGGCCGCCGTGGCGTCGGGCGGCGTGAGATGCGCATGTGCGCTCTCGCTGTTGCTGGCAGAGGCAGAGCTGCCGGCGTCCGGCGTGAGCTCGACTGATGCGAGCGGGCAGGCAGCCGGCACTCACCTCGTCGCGCCTCTCGCACTACCCTCTGCCAGCTCAAGGCCCTCTGTCACTGCGAGCTTGTGCGTATGGTCCAGATTGCGCGTCCACACTCTCATCCGCCGCCCCTGTGCGTCGCGCTGCCCGTCGTCGCCGCCGCTGCCCGCCGGCGCGTCGAGCTCGACCTCGCTCTGCTCCAGCACCCAGCTCTCGCTGTTCTTGACGATGCCGCGCGGCGCCCAGGCGGGCAGCGTGCCACGCTTGAGGATGAGACGCGTGGTGCACAGCACGAGCTGCGACGACGACGACGACGACGACGCCGCCGCAGAGGCCACCTCTGCGGCCGCGGCGCACGGGCGCCAGACGAGGCGGCGCTCCAGCACGTCGACGCTCAGCACATGTGTGGCCAGCGGGTTGGGGTAGCGCTGGAAGTACGCGGGAATGAGCGTGGCGTACGGCGCACTGCGAGAGCGTCAGCATGGTGCGGCACAGCGCGCCGGCGGTCGCGGCCACGCACGGATAGCGCGTGTGCGAGGCGTGCGTCTGCACCATGCTGCGCTCGGGGAGCGGCGCGGGCGGGCAGAGCGCGGCAGCGCAGCGCACTCGGGCGTGCCGTGCGAGCCGAGGTGGAAGAAGCGAGGGGCACGGCGTCGAGAAGGCGGATGCTGGAGAAGGCGGGTGCCGGTGGAGGAAAAGGCGGGTGCCGGTGGAGGAGAAGGCGGGTGCCGGTGGTGGAGAAGGCGGGTGCCGGTGGTCGGGAAGAAGAAGAGGCGGTCGGGTGCGCGTGCAGGTGGAGCATATGCCGCCTTTAAAGTCAGAGTTTGTTGCTTGCCGCCGCGGCCACCTGCTGTGCTGCTGCGCTCGACTGCTGCGCGGCGCGCGCGGCGCGCCGCGCGCTCACCCTCCTCCACCTTCCCACCCTCCATCCCTCTCGCACGCGCCTGCTCCCTTGCCGTGCAGCAGCAGCAGCAGCGCAGCTCTTGCGCATCGCACGCCATGGCCGTCATCGCGGCACGTCTGCCGCTCCGGCCGGCATGCGCCAGCGCCAGCTCCAGGCTTGCGTGTGAGGCACGCTGCCAGCCGGGCGTCGCCGCCCGCCCGCGCAGGAGCTCGGTCTGGGCCGCAGCAGCGCACCCCTCGGGCAGCTGGCTGCACGCCGGGCACGGCCTCGCCCCGAGGCAGCAGTCTGTGTCCATGTGCCGGGCAGCGCTGCACACGAGCAGCACACGGCCGCCTGCAGCTCCGGCGCAGGCCGAGGCCGAGGCCGCGCCGTTCGATGCGCTGCCAGCCGTGTCCTTCAGTATCATCGCGCACATCGACCACGGCAAGAGCACGCTGGCAGATCGCCTGCTCGAGATGACGGGCTGCATCCCGGCAGGCGTGGGCAACCGGCAGGTGCTTGACAGCCTGAAGGTCGAGCGCGAGCGCGGCATCACCGTCAAGAGCCAGGCGGTGAGCATGCGGTGGCAGGGCACACTGCTCAACCTGATAGACACGCCGGGGCACGTCGACGTGAGTGACACGCTGGAGCGCCAGCTGCGGCGGGCCTGACGCAGCCGTAGTTTGCCTACGAAGTAAGCCGCAGTCTTTCTGCGTGTCAGGTGGCCCTGCTAGTGGTGGACGCCGCGCGTGAGTCAAGCTGGTGTGCTTGCGCTTCAGCTCTGACCCCGGCACACAGAGGGCGTCCAGTCGCAGACGCTGTCGGTGCTGCGCATCGCTCGGGCGCGCAATCTACGCATCATTCCCGTGCTTAACAAGATCGACCTGCCAGCGGCGCAGCCCGACGTGGTGCTCGCGCAGCTGGAGGACGTGGGGCTCGACGTTGGCTCTGGCGGCCGCGAGGAGGCCATCAGCGTGAGTGCCAAGACAGGACAGGGCGTGGAGGAGGTCCTGGCTCGCCTTGTCAGAGGTGCACGCACGCACAAGGAGGCGCGCAGACAGGACATGCGCGCCCTAGTCTTTGACTCGTGGTACGACCCGTACAAGGGCGTGGTGGCGCTGGCCTCGGTGTACGAAGGCACACTGCGCAAAGGTGAGTACAGCAGCAGGAGCAGGCGAGGGGACCCTGCATATTGAGACTTCCTCAGGGGATAGGATTGCGTCGGCCGCGTCGGGCAAGACCTACGAGGTGCTCGGTATCGGAGTCAACAGCCCGGAGCCCGTATCAACCGGCGTGCTGCGCGCTGGCCAGGTCGGCTGGCTGATGATGAACATGAAGGACATGTATGTCGCTCGCTGCTGGCAATGCCATGTGCCTGCTGATGCCGCATCGCAGGTCAGAAGCAGCAATCGGCGATACGCTACATCACGCGCACACCAAGGTCGAGCCGCTTGAGGGCTTCAAGCCGAGCGTGCCGATGGTCTACGCAGCTGTATATCCGCTCCAGGCGCAGGACTTCCCGAAGCTCGAGGATGCCATCACACGGCTAGCGCTCAACGACCGCAGTGTGACCGTTGCGCGGGAGAGCAGCGCGGCGTTGGGCCAGGGCTGCCGGCTGGGCTTTCTCGGCACGCTGCATCTCGATGTGTTCCGGCAGCGGCTCGAGGACGAGTATGGCCAGAGCATCCTTGTCACAGCCCCAACCGTGCCCTTCCGCGTCACGGCGCAGGACGGCACCGAGCGCACGATCGCCAGTCCAGCCGAATTTCCGGCCGAGCTGCGAGCAGGGCATGCCGAGCTGGCAGAGCCGGTTGTGCGCGGCACGCTCATGTGTCCAGAGGAGTACGGTGTGTACACATGGTGCCTCTGCGTCTTGCCTGCGCTGATGAGCGGCCGTGTCAGTTGGCTCGATGATGGAGCTGTGCGCAGAGCACCGTGGTGAGGACCTCAGCATCGAGTTTGACGAGGGCAAGTCGGGCAAGCGGCAGGTACGTATGGTGTATCGCCTGCCGCTTGCCGAGGTCGTGACGGACTTCTTTGGCAAGCTCAAGTCACGCTCCAGTGAGCAGGGGCCTGCAGCAGCAGGCGGCAGCTGTCTGACAAGGCCATGGCAGGCGGCTTCGCGGCATTTGAGTACGAGGACGACGGCTACACGGCATCCGACCTCGTCAAGGTGAGGGCATGCAATGCCTCAGGAAGCGCGGCCGCTGACACACTCTCAGCTCTCATTTCTCATCTCGGGCACACCTGTTGACGCTCTCGCGGTCGTGCTGCACCGCAGCAAGGCTGTCGCAACCGGGCGTGCCATGGCGCGCAAGCTCAGAGACGTCGTGCCTCGGCAGCAGTTCGAGGTGGCCATCCAGGCTGTCATCGGCAACAAGTGCGTGCACCGAGCCGTCTTGTCTCTCTTGCTCACATTGCGCCCAGGGTCATTGCAAGAGAGTCGCTCAAGGCGTTCAGAAAGGACGTCACCGCTGGCCTTTACGGCGGCGACTACACACGCAAGGCCAAGGTACGTGCTGCACTTCCAAGAGCCGCCGACGCGGCTGACACTTTGTGCATTTCCAGCAACTCGGCAAGCAGAAGTGAGTCGTGTGCCTTGCCCTGACAAGCCCTACTGACGCTTGTGCGGTGCCCAGAGAAGGCAAGAAGCGGCTGCGCGCAGTGTCGTTCGGGCGCGTGCAGATACCGCAGGAGGCCTTCCTCAGTGTGCTCAACAGCCGGCCAAACGAAGGGAAATGAGAGTGAGATGCACACGACGAGGGATGTGTGTACAGGTGAAGAGGCGAGTCGTGAGCTGGACGTTAGGCGAGGAAGGAAGCAGCCGCCCGCCTGCCAGTCGGTGCAGAAAAGTAGACACGTCTTGCAGGACTCGGTGCGCATGCGCTTTGCCTGGAGGCTCACGCGTGTCGGGCGTTCAGTTGAAAGCTTCAGTCGCGTTGACGCACCACAGGGGGCTGCCTACCCCCGGAGCTCACTCTGCGGTGACAGCTGTGTGCATTCTACGCCAGTGGCCAGGACTGGCGATGCACGACCAGCCCCGTAGAACGGCAGGGCTGCCCTTGGGCTTCGCTGAGCCCGGTGGCGGCAGCGTCTCCCCTCCTCACCACGCGCGCCGCAAACGTCGCTGTGCCAGTCGCTTGCAGGCGAGAGAGGCATGCCCAAGACACGCATGTTGCTCTGCTCCGCCGCTTGATGTGACGGCACTATGTTCCACACGCCTGCAGCGACGGTGTGTGAGCAGGCCCCGACACCAAAGCTAGCACGGCGCCGCAGGCCACCAAGCCGGAGGCCTGCCACGCTCCGTCATGGCAGTGTGAGTGCATAAGGCGCCTCGGAGCAGTGCGACGGCTCAGTCGCGCAGCCTTCGCAGTCATGCTGCTTGCGACGTGGACCATCGGCGAACAAGGCCGGGCGATCTTCTTTCGTGGAATCGAGAGGGGAACATGGACGCACAGGAGGCTGCTCGCGTGTCCTGCATGCACAGTAAGAGTCGAGTCGGAGGCAGGCGCGGCGGGCATCTGCCGCTGGCCGCGCACTCTACATACGATGACGGACATGCACGCAACAGAACGGACGAGGCGACCTCGGTGGCGCCGGGCGGCGGTGCAGCATGGACAGGGCAGGCGGCCGCCATGCGGAACAGGCACAGGTGCACGTCGCAGCGCGGGGGGACGCTCTGTTGACAGCAGGGACAATGCATTACACTCTTCAAGTCAGGGTGCAGCGCACAAACGTGTCGATGCTCAGCCCGGTGGCAGAGAACTTGTCGATGAGCCCTGCGGACGTGAAGAACACAAGGGAGCCACGGCGGCCTGCCAGCAGCGCGCTATTGCCGTGTGTGATCTGGCGCGCCGGGAACGTGACAACCGTGCCGTCGGACGTGTCCACCTTGATGCCCAGCTCGCGGAGATGCAGAGCACCGCCGACAAAGTGCTCGCCGTGCACCATGACGGAGGCAAGGCCGTACATGTGGTCACGCATGTCCTTGTGCTGCGCGCAGATCGTAGCGTCGCTGATCACGTTGGCGATGATGCCGCCGTGCGGGTCGAACACGCACGCACCGCGCTCGCCGACCCTTGCCATCACGCGGGCCGCCGCGTCGCTATCGAGTGTGCGCAGCTCCTCGGGCTTCACGGGGAAGCGCACCGCACGAAGCTCCGGGTGCTGCGCGACCTCGTCGTAGACGAGCAGGTGCGCCGGGCTTAGCATGCCCAGGTTGTCGCGCGCGACGGCTGCTAGGCGCGCCAGGGCGTCGCCGTAGATGAGAGGCGTTGTGTGCTGCGGGCTGTTGAGCAGCGCCGTAGGCCACGACTCGGAGTTTGTCGTCGTGTGGATGGGCCACGGGCGCAGATTCACGTTGACGGTGGCGAAGCCACGCCCGCGCGTGGACTGAATCTCGGTGAGGCATGCATTGGGCAGCTGGAGCGTCGCGTCCTCCACCTGCCGCAGCGCAGGGCGATAGTCGCCGGCTGTGCCCTGGGCTGGCGCCCAGGAGATGAGCACGACACAGCGGTCGTCGGAGTCGAGCAGGAGGACGCGTTGCTCGTCGGGCAGCTGCTGCACGATGAGGCTCGCGCGCTGACTGTTTGCCTCGTCGGGCTTGGCCAGCGACCAAGGCACGCGAAGAAGGCGGGCGGAGGCCGTCATCTGCAGATGCGCGCTGCGTGCAGCGGCAAAGACGGCGTCAGGGTCGCGTTCTGGGCGCGCCGGAGGCACCGCAGGCAGCCGGTGCCGCTCAATGTCGGTGCGGCAACCCTGCGACATGCCTACAAGAGAGTGCGGGCAACGGATGGCGCAGCAGAGGTAAGCAGGGGCGGCTGAGGCGGGCGGGAGGGAGAGGCGCGAGGTGCAGGCCACGCACGGCAGCAGGCAGGGTGGAAGAGGTGCGGCACCAAGCCGCTGCGCCGCCGCCTCGGCGGTCACCTGACGCGCTCCCCTGAGGCACTGGAGCCGCCGCGCCGCGCGCGGCGCGCATCGCGCGGCCCGCGGGAAAGCCAGGGCCGGCGGCCGCACCGAGCTCCGCGCCTCTCACTCCCACCGCTCCGCGCCTCCTTACTCGCGTGCTCTGCGCGCCCTTCTGCCGCCTCTAGGCATGCTGCCAATCACTCTCTCACCTGCAGAGGGTCACTACGTCCTCACTCTGTGCACCACCCTTGACTATAGGCTCGCGTATGAGTGCGCAGTCGCCTCGTGGATCGCGGTCGCGCCGCAGGCGCGCACGCTGCGGCGGGACCGCTGCATCGACATGAGTGCCGCATCGACGCTCTACGACGCCAGCACGAGCGTGTTCTACCGCCTACGAGCGCTTGCTCTCGTGACCATCGACCACGACCTCCAACCTGCGCAGTTTGAGCGCTTCACCGGTCTTGCTGACCTCGAGGACCACCATCTCAAGGCCATGAGAGCCGCCACGGTCGGCGATGGCGAGGACAGGCGGCCGGACCACACGTTCATTCACAGGCATGCATACGCCCTGGAGCCGGCCGCGCTCAAGCTGTCGTCTCAGGCGCTTGCAGTCGACGCAACGCGCAAGCACGCTGCAGCAATCACGGCGCCAGCAGGCAGCGGCCGCGCACCCGGCCGACAGGCGGCAGTAAAGAAGGCCTCTGCACCCGCGCCGGCGGCCCGGTCCACGCACAGCACACGAGGAGCAGCTGTGTCCCGGCCCGGTCGCACCTCAGCAGCAGTGGCCACACGCAAGAACGCAGCGGCAGGTCGAAGCAAGGCAGCGACGTGCGCACCGGCGGGCAACGTCTCCAGCGCCTCGCTGACGAGCGAGGGCGAGCGCACGACGCGCTCGCCCAGCGCAGAAGCGTCAGGCGACGATCACGACGACGACAGCGAAGGCGACGACAGCGACACTGGTCCCAGCAGCGACGAGCGGCGCTCTGCCGGCACAAAGCGCGCGCGCGGCGCAGACAGCTCCGACGGGCGCAGCGACGGCGAGACGGGAGATTCTAGCACTGAGATGGCTGTCCCAGACGCGCGCAAACGGCAGCGCACTCGCGCATTGCCGTCGCCGCGCACTGCCACCGACGTGGCAAAGCGGACGTCTGCGCGGACGGCCGCATCCAGTGCGGCGCGCTCTTCTGGACCCGACGGTGCCTCGCCGTCCAAGACGCCCAAGGCCAAGGCGGAGCCGATCATCCGGGCCGCTGCTGCACGCACCGGTATGGCGCAGCCTGCTGCATCGTCCGCGGCCACGCAGCCTGCTGCATCGTCCGCGGCCACGCAGCCCGCCGCCGCGTCATCTGCAAAGCCGTCGGTCGCCATGTCCTCTGCGCACGAACCAAGTCTCTCGTCGCGCTACCGCATGCGCACTGGCAGCACGTCGACGCCGTCCTACCACAGCATCCTCCAGCACATGCGTGTGCCGGCCGACGAGGAGCCGGAGGGGCATGGCGCGGTGGTACGCGCCGAGAATCTTGCCCGCATGCTCGGCTCTCTAGAGCAGCTGTGTGCAGCTGTGGCTGCACGGCGCTCGGAGAATGGCACACACGTGGCAATCAGTGCGGCAACAGCGGAGGAGCGCATGCGGGCTTGCTATCACGCCTTCGACGCTCAGGCGCGGCGCGAGAGTGCACACCCGCCACAGACGCAGGACGCAGCAGTCGCACAGCAGCTGGAGTCTCTGAGTGCCACCGGCGGCCTTGCGCGCTCCGTCAAGGAGATTGTGATGCGGCTGGTCATTGCCGCCGAGGTGGAGCGCGAACACCGCCATCATCGAGAGCACAGCGCAGGCCGATGGAACCGCGACGACGTGCTGGAGCGCTTCCGTGCGCCTGGCAGCACGATGAACCTGAAGCGGACGGGCACTGAGGCGCACAACATGGCTCGGATGGTGGTAGCGTCTGGTGAGGCCTGTCGCTGTCCTGGGCCCTGTGCATGTGCCGGCTGACACACGACCTGCAGGCCATCTGTCAATGGCGCTGCTGCTGGCTGTGGCATGGCATGCTGGCCTGACAAGCGTGTGGTGGACGTCGCTGCACCACTCGTACATGACCGCATGGCTGGAGAATGGCGGCGATCTTGACGCCATAGGCGCGGCAGGTGTCGAGTTCCAGATCTTACTGCGGCAGCAGTCGCGCGCACGCTTCCTGCTCCTTGAGGCGGCGCTCAAGGAGATCCAGCTTGACGACCTCAACATGTTCAACGGCGTCCGCATCAACATCGCCGCGCTGAGGCGTGGCGGCGCCGGCAAGCCTCGTCGTCAGGACCAGGCCACCCAAGTCACAGTCCCGCTGCCGGCGCCGGTGCCGCAATCGGCCGCTCTTGCGCTGCCATGGCTTGGCACGGGCGCAGCCTCTCCCACACCGCAGGCTGCCCTAGTGCGCCAGGACTTGCTGCGCGTGCCGAACGGCCTTGCCACCTACACCCATCCTGTCACCCTCTCTCATCCGCCAGTGCCGCGCAGCGCCGCCTGGACATTCGGCGTGACGCATCGCTGCCGCTGAATTAAAGCCGGCATATGTGCCAGCGTTCGTGATGTCGACAAGTGCAGGATCGCAGGCTGTCTGGCAGATCCGGTGCGCTCACTTGCGCTTTCGCGCCCACGGCAAGGCGAGCGGGCCGTGATGCTGACTAAGCACGAACCGCGCAATATTGCGCGATTCGTGCTTAGTCAGCATTCAGCGCGGGGAGGCCTCCGCTCCACTCACCTGGCGGGGCTCTGCGATCATGATCAGGCTGCCTCCGTGTAGCTGATAGCGCGCAGCTGCCCTGGGGTATACCGCCAAAATGCGTGCAGCGCTGCCGGCGCTGCAGAGCCGGGCGCGGTCGGGACCGTGCCGGTCAGACTTTCCGACGAGTCTGTGATCGCGCTTTGTGCGGCCAGCGCGCTCTGCCTTTTCCGGCCCCCCGCCCGCGCGCCGGCCCTTGGCGTCCTCCTGTCATTCTGATTGCATCGCTCGGCAAGCCCGAGGGCCAGCAACCTTTGCAGCGGTCAGACTCAGTGCGGCTCGCAAGCTGCCGCAAGCTGCCATCGGCCCCGGAACTGGGCGCAGCCGTGAAGGTATGCGCTGCGCACGACGCACACGTCAGGTGCAGCCGCCGCCGCCGATGTAGCATGCTGAGCGACAGCATCGCAGCAGCAGCGTGCTAGGCGGAGGGGCCGGCAACGGCAGCAGCGACGCAGTGGAGCTAGTCAGCCCCCAGGCGGATCGTGCGGGAAGGCTAGCGAGCAGCACGGCGCGGGCGCCGCTGGTCTGGCAGGGCGCATTCCATGGTGTCGACGTCGCGCGCTGTCCCACGCTGCGCTGTGTGGTCGGCGTAGCATGACGCCGCGCGCCGCCGAGCGACGCAACCCATGGCGCAGAACCCCTGAGCAGCCCCCCGCTGCTCCACCCTCCCGCCAAGACACGCCCGTCTTACACCACTGCACGTCGCCTTACCCCCCGCCCTTGCCCTGATGGCCAGATCGCCACTCACCTCTCTCATGACGCCGTCTGCCGTCTGGCCCCTCTGCAGCAGCCTCCACTGCTGTGGACTGCCAGTCTTCGTCGCTGGCGGCTTGCCATGACGACTGGGCTGTCGATGCGGCCAAGCAACATGTGCGACCGCTCGCCCGCGATGCGCCACACTCCTGGGCCCAGCATTGCAGCGCTGCTGCGCGTCGCACTACCTACACCTTCGCGGCTGCACCGGCTTGACGCGCACGACGTCTCTGGAGCCACGGCGCGGCAGAGGGCACGTCGTAGTCGTCTTCCTCACCCGTGCCGAGGCCGCTGAGAAGCGCTACGGAACTCTCCTCCTCTGCCGATTGCACTCAAGCCGACGCTCTCTCGAACGCACCCAGAAGGCGCTGCCTGCTGCCATGACTGTGCTGCCTCCGGACGCACTCGACAACAAGTAGCCGCGACGTCCGCCCCCCACCTGGTCTTCGATGTCGAGGCCCGCCGCAAGATCCCGCACGACCCTCTCCGTCCCGCTCGCTGGGCAGTACCACATGGTGCGCCTCACCGAGCAGCAGCGGGACACGCTCGAGTGGCCGCAGGTGCAGGCGACGAAGGGCCAGCCATCGCGCCGGGGCGCAGTGTGTTCGTGAGAGCGGACAGCGAGCGCCTGATGTCGGCCATGTTGGACCGGCGCCCGTTCCGGCAAGCTACGGAAAGCGGGGAAGGGGGGGGGGGGGACCCATCAGGCTCGCGCTGTACGACCATTCCGTTCGATCACGCATGCGAATTCGCAGAACAGTACCATATGAGAGTGAATGGGAGGCACGTCGCACGGTGGGGGGCGGCGCGCCGCGGTAGGCGGGGCGCGGCGCGCGGCGCGGGCCGAGACCGTCTCCCGCGGTGCGAGTGCCGCGCGCCTTAAACCCGAGCCGCACCCGCGGCGCGCACTACAAGACCTGCATGCATGACCCTGCATCGGCGCCTTGCGGCTTCCTTCCCACCACCACCATCGTCGGCCTCACTCGCTCAACCAGGAGCTGCCCGACTCATCGGCCAGAGCAACAGCAAGCGCCCAGCGCTTCGCGCCCCATGTGCTCGCACACGCCTGTCTGAACGAGCTGCCTCGGCGGGCTGCCGCCCCACTTCACCCCTGTCGGTTCGAGATCGCGCGACTTGCGTCAAGGGAGCGGCAAGACGGCCAACAGAGCTCGCAGACGCCCTTGACTATGCCTGTGCTTGCTGCGAGCGCATCGCGTCATGCAGCCGTGCTCGGTCTTCTCGCCTGCTCAGCCCTGTGGGGCACGCTCGCGCGGCTCGGCCTCAGCGCGCTTAACTCGTATGACGGGCACTCAATAGCGCCGGTCATCTGGGCGCAGGGCGTCGGCTGCTTCGTCATGGGCTGGGCACTGGGGAATCGCGCCGAGATCGAGTCTAGGTGCGTTCCCATCCTGGCGGCGCTGGCACTCGTCGAAGGCGACAGGCGTCGAGGAGCAGCTTTGGGCTGGAGATGTCGCACTGCTAGCACGCCGGCAGTGCTGACCCCGCGCTGCGCCCGCCAGATACGCCCCGCTCTACACTGCCATCGCGACGGGGCTTTGCGGGAGCATCACGACCTTCAGCGTGTGGATCCTGGAGGTGTTCCGCGCCTTTGGCGACCAGAAGCACTACAGCCGCAGCGGCCTGCAGAATGTGAGTGCAGACGCCGCGCTGTGCAGCGGCGGGGACGTCCGAATCGCGACGAGGACGCCGGTGCTGAGCTCTAGACGCTAGGTGCTCGACGCGCTCACGCAGACGCTCGCCACGCTGGCCGTCGCACACGCCTGCCTCGTCGCCGGCGAGCACTTCTCGCGCGCTGTCAGCGTTGCTAGGCTGCTGCGCGTGTGCGGACAGGGAAGGCCCGACTCCGCCGAAGCATCAGCTCAAGAATCGCCAAACGGGAGCCCGGGTCCGCCTGCTGCAGGCCACGCCAAGCCTGCTGGCCATTCAGCGACGACACCGTGGCTCGACCTCAGCTGTCTCGCCCTCGGTCTCGCTCTGTGGGTCGGGGCTGCGCTGCTGTGCGCCCTGTACGCGCCCTGGCGGCACGTCACCTTCTCCCTGGTGCTCGCCCCGCCTGGCACGATCCTGCGCTGGTACCTCTCGCGGCTCAATGCGCACCCACGCTCCAATCGTCTGCGGCTGCCACTCGGCACGCTCGCAGCCAATCTCCTCGCCACGGCCATCGTATGCGCCGCCTTCGTCCTCCAGCGCGTGGGGCGCGCGCCGGGCGTCGGAACGCGGGGGGCGTTCACCGCTCTCGGCTGTGCTGCGGCGTACGGACTCGAGCAGGGCTTCTGCGGCTGCCTCAGCACCATCTCCACCTTCGCCGTCGAGCTGCGCGCCTGTCGGCCACGGCACGCAGTGTGGTATGCCTCGGCCAGCTGGCTCGCAGGCATCGCCCTGTGTGTCGTGCTCATTGGCGGCCCGTGGTGGAGCATTGGCATGGACGGCAGCTGTGTCACCCTGTACCCCGTGGCGTGATGCCGCACTGAATGCATAGAGTCCTCTGAACCCTGCGTGCGGGCTCCGGCGAGCCGATGTACTGCTGCACTTGTGGCCCACTGGCCCTCTTTGTCATGTGCGCTCTTTGTCATGTGCGCAGCAGCACATGCGAGCACGACCCTAACCTTGCCCGTTCCGTGCGCAACGTCTCGCGGCCGCTGGTCGCACATGAGCGGCAGAGAGAAGTGAGTGGGGAGGACCTATCTCGGCATGGCGTGGGAGCGGTGATGCGATCCCACACTGCGGGGGATCGCCTGGCGGCTGATGCGCGCGGTCTGCGCTGCACTCGCCGAGCTCTTCCTGAACAGTGCCGGCTAGGGAGGTGGATCACACACGTCTGTGCTGCGGAAGCGCGGCTAGCCACCCTCCGCACGGCTCGCCTCAGCGGCATGGCAATGACAGACGATGCTGCGAAGGATCAAATGCTTGTCTGACGAAGCGCGACCTGACGCATCACGAGTGCGTAGCGAGCTCTCTATTTGTCTATTCCTTCGTCCCAGAAGCTGCTACAGCTGGCTCGTCCTGCACACCCATCGTCACGTCCTGCACACCCGAGGCGCCTGCGGACTGCAGCACGGCGCGCACGCCTCCCGACAGCGCCTGCAGTGCCTGCAGCTCCTCCTCTGACTTCGTGAGCAGGTGGCCCGCGTATGCTGGCGTCGAAGCGATGTCAGTGCGGCGGAGATCTGCGTTCGACGGGTCCGCTCACCCATCGAGTTGATGGAGAGCGCCGTCTTCTCGCCGCTCGCGAGCGGCAGCTCAAAGTCTTCTTGCGTGCGCGGCACCAGATGCAGCGCTCGCGCTGTCATGAGCAGGTTGAAGGACGGCGGGCCTGAACGGACTGGCGCTGCTGCACTGCCGCTGGCGCCAGCGACGGCAGACAGCTTGGCCTTGAAGAGCGCGTCGAGCAGGCCGAGCAGCTTGCTCATGAGATACGATTCGCGAGCGCTAGAAGCCTCGCCTTCAGGAGGCGACAGGAGAGCGACAAAGTGCTGGTACGGCAGTGGCAGCGCGAAGATGGAGTCTTTGGAGCCGTGGCGTCAGCGCTGTCGACTCAAGACATCGCCACTGCGACTCACCATCGCGTCCCTCCTGCTCAATGCAAGTATGCAGCAGCCGCTCAACGGGCACTCTGCCTTCTCCGCGCTTCCCAACTACATCCTCCGTCTCCCCTGCCTCGAGCGAGCACTCGATGAACTGCACGTGACAGTGCGGCTGGCTGGCGCCGGACAGCGGGCCGCAGTTGTAGAATGCCATCAGCTCGGCGTCGGCCGAACGGCCCTCGCCGACGGGCGAGCGTGCGTGCTCTTGCAGCAGAGCATAGGCCAGCGCCAGCGTGGCTGGTGGCGGCGGCAGCTTCTGCGACGCGAACTCTGCGAAGAAGTCCGGCTTGAGCTCTGCCTTTGGAATTGGGACTCACGCCAGCTTACACACCCTTCGTGACGAGCAGAAAGTGCAATGGCAAGAGAGCGTACTTGTTGAGCTGTGCGAGGCACAAGTCAGTCCGGCTCACCACTTTCCGGGTCTCTCCCGAGATCGCAGTCGCGGTCAGCCACGCCAAGCCACACTGCGTCCCCGGCTGCCTTTCACGCCGCTCGCAGACTGCACCCGTGTTCACGACACGACAGGGTCGCCGCTGCCAGCTCTCGCACCGTCTGACCGCCTCTGTCTGATCTGAAGAATACGCACCAGCACGGTGTGCTCCGGCAGCTCCGCCACGAAGAGGTCTGAGTCATACGGCGGTGCAAAGACGTCCTTCTGCTCCTCTGCCGGCTTCTGCTGCTGTTGAGCCGCGTCCTGCTGGGCAGCTCGCTGCTGGCGCGCCCGCTGCTTCTCGCCCAGCGCCGGCACGCAGCGCACCCGCCATGCGATGGGTGTGCGTGCCGATGCGCCGGCGTCGGCCTCTGGCGCAGGAGCATCGGGCAGGAGCACGACGCGCGAGGCAGGACACACCACGGCGCCGCTGCCCGTGGCGCGCGCAAAGGCGGCGCCGAGCGCCGGGAAGAAGGCACGCAGCTGCGCTGGCAGCGGCATGGCCGGCGTCGTGGCGGTCGGCATGGCTGCGAGGCGTGCAAGTGCAAGGCAGGGCCGTGCGCAAGGGGTGCGCGGACTCGTCCGCGGTGGAGGATGCCGCTCCCTGTGGGCGCAGCGGGGCCCCGGCGTGCAGGCGTGCGGCGCTGAGATGCAGCTGCGAGATGCGGCAGGTGCGCTGCTCGTGTGACGGCGTGCAGCAGCGTGAGACGGCTGCACTCTGGTGCTGGAAAGGGTACGGAGAGCAGGATGTGGAGAAGAGGTGTGAAAGAGAGGGCGGAAGGCTCGCCGCGGCGCTGCAAGACGGCGCGTCCGGCCCGCGGCGGCTAGCGCAAAAGGCGCGCGTCTCCGCACCGCGCCGCAAGAGGCGCACGCTGCAGCCACGGGCCCGCATCCGACTGCGGCGCTGCAGCTCTGCTTCATCCGCTTCGTGCGACAGCGGATAGAGCTGCGCCCGCCAATGCTCCCGGCCGGCCGTCGAGCAGACCTCGGCTTGATGCGGCTTCGCCGCCCCACACGCGGCTGCGGCCCCGAAGCGATTGTCGCCCGTCGGCCCCTTGTCCATCCCTTGCCGTGCTGAAAGGTATCTGATTTCCGCCGCCGCAGGCTGGAAGGCAATTCCGGGGGCGACGTGCGGGCCACGTGCTAAGAGGCGGCCCTGCAAACACAGCCGAGCTCTAGGCCGAATGTGTCGCAGCTTGCCGCTTCTCCCAGTCCGGCTCGGCGGGCAAGCAATGCATCGCATCCATCTCCTCTTTGATCGCTTGCGCCGTCTCGCCGACGGTGTCCACCACTCTGATGCCCGCTGCATGACGCAGGCCATAGACGCAGTCAGCTGCTGTATGGCAAGCCCAGCCAAGCGAGCCTTGCTCGATGCAGCACGAGAGTGCAAAGAGGCAAGGCAACTCACCTCGTCGCCAAGCCTCTCTCTTGGCCTCGGCACTGCCCACGCCCTCGTTCCACACAGCTCCGGCGTGTCCGTACGACCTGCCCGAGGGTACGCCGCGGCCAGCGATGAAGCCCACGATGGGTTTGAACGGCGGCTGCGGGAGCGAGAGGAGATACGCCGCCGTGTCCTCCTCCATCGTCCCGCCGACTTCGCCGATCAGGATGATGCCAGAGGTGGCGGGGTCGGAGAGGAGGAACTCGAGAGCCTCTGAAGACGCGCACACGAGGTGGAGAGAAGAGGCCGAGGCGTGAGAATTGGAGAGGAGAGGGTAGAGGGCAGACTCACCGTCTGTGCGGGTGCCGGGATAGAAGTCGCCGCCTAGCCCGAGCACTGTGCTCTGTCCCAGGCCGAGCGCTTGTGTGGCGCCCATGGCTTCATACGAAAGCGTGCCTGATCTGGCCGCAATGCCTGCAGCGCTGCATCAGCCTCCATCCCTCATGTCTCTGTGCCGCTCTGTCGCCCCGGCGCTCCGTCGCTCTCTCGTTGCGCCGCAACTAAGACAAGCCACAAGATGCCTTGTCTTCACTCACCGACACATCCCCGACTTGCCGCCGCCACGGGCGCAATGCCCAGGCGTGGGCCGTAGGGACTCGTGTATCCCGGCGAGTTTGCGCCCAGCAGCCTGCTTTTCGACTGCGACTGCAGCGCCGACATGACGAGCATCTGGTCGCGCGTGGGTATGCCTTCTGCCACTGCCACCACGAGGGGTATTTCCTCCGCGATGGCCTCGATGATGGCATCCGCCGCGCTGACCGGCGGCACAAAGACGGCCGTTGCGTCGATGCGTGTATGCCGCTTTGCCTCGCGGACGCTGGCAAAGAGCGGCACGCCAAACTCGTCGTGCGTGCCGCCGGCCTGCTTGGCCGACGTGCCGGCGACGAGGTTGGTGCGGCCCGTGCGCACGCTCAGGCGCGCATGCATCGTCGCGGCGCGGCCGGTGAGGTTCTGGAAGAGGATGCGCGAGTCGCGCGTGAGGTGCAGATGCGGCACGGTGCTGCGATAGGAGGCCATGGCGGGCGATGGAGGTGGTGCAAGGTGAGGCGGATGCGATGCGGGGCGAGGCGAGGTGGAGTAGGCGCGGAGGAAACAGCTATCGGTGCGGGGCGCCGCGGCAACCGCCTGCGCTCGCGCGCGCCGCGTCACCTGCTGGCGCGCACCTCGGCGCGCCGCGCGCGCGCCGCGGCGCGGCGCCTCCACTCGTCCTTGTCAGCATCAGGCGACGGCAGGCGCGGCCTGTGCGCCCTGTCTCGCAACCACACGGACCCGCAAGCAGCCGCAGCAAGTACGCAGAATCGTCCACTGCAGCACAGCTCATCGTCGCCGCCGCCATGTCGCCGCTGTCGTGGCTGTGGGGCACGCGCCTCGAGGCCGCGCCCGGCCAGTGCGCCACGCCGTGCGCCTTGCCGGCGCTCTCCAGCGACGCCGTGCGTCCACCAGCGAGCCCGCGCAGCTACACACACATCATCGTCGGCGCAGGCACCGCCGGCTGTGTGCTGGCCTCGCGCCTCACCGAGGACCCGGGCTGCCGCGTGCTGCTGCTCAACCCCGGCCCGCGTGTCAACGACGTGCTCTCGCGCATCCCGCTCATGAGCATTGCGCGCTCCTACACGCCCTACTACGCCTACCGCATCGACAGCGTGCCGCAGCGCGGCCTCGACCCGCCGCGCACCGTCAGCATGGTCGCCGGCCGGTGAGCAGCGCCTCGTCATTTGTCTATTTCATGCTGACAGTCTGATGTAGCATCGTAGGTGGCTCGAGGTGAGAGCCGCGCATGTATGCCACTCTATCGGGCTCACACCTGTGCAGCGCCATCAACGCCTCCGTCTACACCATCGGACCTGATGTCGAGCTCGATGCGTGGGCGGAGCAGCTCGGTGCGCCCAGCTGGAGCGCTGCGTCCTTCAAGGCCCTATTTGCGCTGCCGCGCCACCGCGGCCAGAAGGACGATGCGCCGGGCCCGTGGCACACCAGCCAGCCCGTCGAGCACCTCTACCCGCTCACGCGCCACGTGCTGCGGGCCCTGCGCGAGGCTGGCGTGCCCAACGTCGACAATCCGCACGCCGGCGAGGGCGGGCCCGTCGGCACAGGGAGCTTCATCGTCCAGCAAACGCACTTTCCAGACGGCACAAAGGCGCACGCCGGCAATGCGTTCCTCACCGACTCGGTGCTCGCGCGCCCAAACTTGACGGTCCGTGGCGCCGTTACCATGGAATGCCCCTGCTGACAAAGTTCGCAGCTCTGCACGGGCGTCAGCGTGCGGCGCATCTACTTTGACACGGCCGGCAACGGGCCGGTGTGCAAGGGCGTCTTCTTCGAGGATGGCTATTCGGGTGCGTTGCAGCACGACCCATTCGAGTAAGAGCTGACCCGTCCACAGGCAATGCCTTCTTTGCCGCCGCCTCGAGTACCATCCTGTCTGCCGGCTGCTTCCACACACCGCACCTGCTGCAGCACAGCGGCATCGGGCCACGCTCGCTCCTCGAGCCACACGGCATCCCCGTGCTGCGCGAGCACCCGCACATCGGCGCCGGCCTGCAGGACCACGTAGCGGTGCCGCTGCAGTTCCTCGTGCCGTACGCCGACTCGTCCATCGCCACGGCCGACGGCATCCGCGCGGCATGGTACGGCCTGCGCCACGCCTGGGACTACTTTGTGCACGGCACGGGCAGCCTCTGCGCCGCCGGCTTCATGGAGGGCGCCGCGTGGTTCTCGACGCACGACCTCGTCGAGGAGGCCGACGGCTCGCTGCGCGTCAAGTGCAAGGACCCACGGAGCAGCGTGGTGCGTGCGGCATCGAAGAGGCGCGGGGTGAGCTTACGCTGACATCTGCACGCAGGCCGACATTGAGCTGCTCTTCACTACCTTGTGGGTGTGGTTGGCGCATCACAGACGCGCTTGAGCTCACTCTGTGCCCGCAGCTGGCTAGACGAGGCCCTGCCGCGCTACGCCGGCATGGAGGACGGCACGATGGGCGTGTCAGGCATGCTCGTCGTGCTCACCCAGCCAGCGTCGTCTGGCAGCGTGGCGCCATCATCGGCCGACCCGCGCGATCCCCCGCTGCTCGACGCCGGCTACCTGACGGACGCGGACGGCTCGGACGTGGCACGCCTCTCGCGAGCCGTCAAGTTCGCCATGGGCCTGGCACACGGCATCAACCAGAGCGGCTACACGTGGATGCCCGCCTCGGTGCCCGGCCGCGACGCCATGAGCGGCGCATGGACGTTCGAGGGACACGAGGACGTCACGCGCGACATGAAGCCGACCGACTTCCTCGACCCGCACCTCGTGCCCGACGCCGCCGTTGAGGCGTACGTGCGGCGCCATGCACGCGCCATCTACCACGGCACATCGACGTGCGCCATGACGGCGCGTAGCGAGCGCAAGCTCGGCGTCGACCCCGAGACCCTCTCGCTCGACGCTGTGCGCGGCTTGCGCGTCTGCGATGCCTCCGTCTTTCCTGCCGTGCCGAGCACGCACCCGCAGAGCCTCGTCGTCGCCATGGCCGAGAAGCTCGCGCGCCAGATGCGCAGCGAGTAGCTCGCAATCTATGTATACCAGGGCCACTCTGTCTGTTCTCCCTCGTCACTCCGAGCGCTCTAGTCGCTGGCGTGCCTGCGTCAGCGCCTCGCGCGAGCTGAAGAGTGTGGCGAGGAAGAAGTCGGCAAAGCCGGCGTCTGTCCAGCTGTGAGGCAGAGCGTCAGCCGACGTCAAGCAGCGGAGGCCAAGCGAGACGCACTATCCTGCGTGGCTGTAGAGCATTTCCTGCGTCGCTGCGTCAGCAAGGAGCCTGTGCTGAGCGGTCTAGCGATACTCGACTGACGAGGTATTGATGTGACAGGAGCGTAGGCTGCAGCGGGATGACATAGTCGACGGAGCCGAGCGGTGAGAGAGCGCGGATGCGTCGCTCGGCGCGGTCCCGCTCCTCCTCGGTGAGCGTGGGTGCGCCAGCGCTCGTGGGCGTCGGCGGGTCGGTGGCGGACTGCGGCGGCCTGGGCTCGTCCATGGAGCCGCGCGGCGACGCCTCGGCGCTTGACGAGCCGACTGTGGAGGCGGAGCGAGCGCCACGGCGCTCGGCGTACGCTGGCTTGGCCTTGCGCGGCGTCAGTCGCTGCAGCCACTTCGGGTTCGCCGAGCCGGTTGACGTGCTGGGCTCGGCGCTGCCGAGCGTCTCGAGACCGCCGCCGTCCGGCGCGTCCTTCTCGTCTTGAGTCGCCGCGGCAGGTGCGTGCGAGGAGCGGCCCCAGGACGCAAAGATGCCGCCGCTGGACGTGCCGGACGCCAGTGCGCCGGGCTGCCCGCGCAGTATCGACGCCACAGCACGCGAGATGACAACCGGCCGAATGACCTGTGCAAGCCTGCAGAGAAATGTCAGGCGGCCGCACAGCTGCTGAACTACCGCGTAGCTCACTTTGCGTCTGCCGTGAGAGTCAGCCAAGCTCACATTCCACGCGCCACAGCTCCACACTCACCGACACATGGGTTCAAGCGCGTGCCGACCGGATCCGTGGCGGAGAAGATGTTGAAGATGCTATGAAGACCCGGCGTCAGCTGCAACATCTCTTTGCATGCCTCGAGCCACTCACCGATCGACGGCCAAGCAGCCGTAGCGTCCTGCGCGCACGACTGACTCGTCCTTGGCGTCGCCCTGCGTGCCCTCCCGCCCACGTCGCGCAATGAGCTGCGCGCGGTTGAGCCACATGAAAAGAGAGACGGGCGAGCCGAGCAGGTAGAGACTGCACACGTCAAACGCCAGCTGCGACTCGTACGAGCTCGGCTTGGCCGCGGCGTGCGTGGGTTGCGCCGAGAGTCTCAAGGAAACACGTCAGCGCTGGAACGGCCTGAAGTGCCAAGGCAGCTCACACATCCGTGGCGATGGCCGCGCCGAGACTGTGCGCGATCAGATGTGTCTTGCCGCCCTTCTCGAGGAACTCGCTGTGCCAACACGCTATCAGCGAGACTCGGTCTTAGTGCGTCGTCCAAGCCTTGGCACGCACGGATTGCGCTGCATGAACAAGCGCCAGACAAAGTTCGTCTGAGCGCGCACGCGGTTCAAGATTTCCGCCTGTGTTCGAGCCATCGTCAGCGGAAGAGGCGCGCAAGCGAGTGCTATGTGGCACGCACTCGATGCTGCGAGAGGTAGAAGGGGATGTCGAGGAAGACGCCAGAAATCTGTGGAGCGAAGGAATGAGTCCGTCGGACGAGAAGCTTAGTGCATGCTGCATCGACTGACAAGCTGCTTGACAAGCGGGATCTGGCGGCGACGGGAGCTGTCAGCAGCGGTGCAATTATCCTGGCGCTTCTCTACACACGCTGTCCTTCTCGCCCGCGCCAAAGATCTGGTCGAGCTGGAACACGTTGTCAAAGTGCTCGCCGTCGGCATCCTCCTCTGCGCGCGGCGGCTCAAAGTCCTCGAGCGTGGCGCGCCACATGACAGGCAGGAACTGCACGCGCTTGCCGGCCAGCAGAGAAGCCATGCCGCCGCCGCCGACGTCCGAGGGTGGAGCGGCTGAGGCGCGCTTGGCCATGAGGGAGCGCATGTTGGAGACTCTGCAGGGACACCTGGTGAGCAGCAGTCGAGCAGGCAGCAACGTGAACGCTCACGCAAGGGCAAAGTCCATCGACTTCCACTCTTCGGCTAGCTTCTGCCCGATGCCGTGCCAGACCTGCGCTAGGTGATCAGCTGTGGCTCATACGCAGCCGGGCGTCAGACCTCACCAGCACTGTGCGAAGATGTCAGCCATGCAACGGTCAGGCCTCACGCAAGATCCACTCACCGAGATGCTCCGGCCCGTCATCTTCCTCCTCCACCTCCTTCTCCGGCTCGTACTCCTCGTCCTCGTTGGCCGCAAGGCCGGCGCTCTCCTTGCTGCGCTCCTCCTCGGCCTCCTTGCGCTCGCCGCCGACGGCCTTGAGGCCGCTGGCCTGCATGCGCGCGTCATCCACTGCTGCCTTGAGGCTGGCCGCATCATCGCCCTTGGTGAAGGCAGAGAGACTGGCCGCCGACGACGTGAGCGCCGTCAGCCGCGTGCCGAGGTTGCCAAAGAGCCCGCTGCTCGTGGACGCGGAGGACGTCGAGGCACTGCGCTCCTTCTTCGTCTCGGCCGGCGGTGCAGCATCGCTCGCTTCAGAGGCCGCCGGCTCTGCTGTAGCCGCCGCGCCACCTTCTGATGCGGCTTCGTCTTGCGGCTTTGGCTCCTCCTTGGTATCGACCGCATCAGCAGCCTGCTGTTCTGTTTTCTCCGCGGTGCCTGTCTCTGTCTTCTCTGCACTAGTCTCCTCGAGCTTTGGCCGCCCCTTCTCCAAGCTCCGCCGGATGCGCTCCTTGGGTGTGAGGTTGCGCTGCGCAATGGCCTCCTGCTCCGTCTCCGTCGACTGCTCCTTGAGCTCGCGCGCCGCCTCGGCGGCATTGGCCTTGGCCGCGGCGCTCTGCGGCTTCTTGGCGGGTGCCGGCGCTGCAGCGCTTGGCTCCTTGCCGCGCGTGCCGAGCAGACGGCGTGCGTTGTCGAAGCCGCGTGCCAGGAGCGTGCCTCCCTGTGGCCTGCATCAGCATTCCGCACCCCGCCTCTGTGCACTCCCAGCTCACCGAGTGCTCGCCCGCCCATGCCGTCCAGAGCATCTTGCCCATGCGCGTGCCCACATCCTCGCGGTACAGGCGCGCCAAGTGCGGGCCGAGGAAGATGACGTAGGCGCCGGGCATGCTGGCGAGGTGGCACTGCAGCTTCGCCTCGGCGTCGGCGCCCTGCGACACGGACGCGCGCAGCTCGTCGGCGTACGACGGCAGCCATGGCCGGATGGACCTGCAGGGCGATGCATCAGTGGCATGCGCAATCGGTGTGCAGACGCGCGCATGCTCACCCATACAGCTCCTCGAGCTCAAGCGCGACGGCATCGCTCAGCGGCGAGAGCTTGCTGGCGTCGAGGAACCAGGTGCCGCGACGCACAGGCGTCGGCGCGCTCTTCCAGAAGACGGGTGAGAGCTGCGGCGGAGAGCTATCAGCGGTGGTGCAGATGTTGTGGGCATAGCGCTAGCTACGGCTGTCCTGAGCCATGCGACGACGAGCGTGGCTTGCGCCGTGGTCGTGACAGCTGCGGCCCTGCCTGCGCGGTCGCACATGGCTCGCGGCATTGGCGTTGCCGCAGCGCACCTGCGGCCTGCCGCATGCCCCTCCAATCTGCGTCCGCACTGCTGCATGCCTGGTCCGCCACGCACCTGCAGCTTGCGCAGGTCGACCTCGTACAGGCGGTCCTCGGCGACGGGCACGCGCCAGCTCTCGAGGGCGCGGTCGGGGTCGGGCGCCGGCTGCGCGGCGTCTTTGTCCTTGCTCTCGGCCCACGCCTTGCGCTCCTCTGCGCTCCTCTCCCAGCCGCGCTGCAGCACGCGGTCGTCGCGCGCACCAAACGCCGCCCAGCTGCTCGCCTTGGCGTCGGCGGCGTGCAGCCAGCGGTGCTGCAGCGGCGGCACGGCGGCGTGCAGGCTCGGCGTCGAGGCGGCGCGCAGGAAGCGCGCGCGCTGCGGCGTCGGCTGCTCGGCGGCCATGCTGGCGAGGAGCAGCTGCAGCAGCGACGCGGCGGGCGGAGTGTGTGTGCGGTGGTCGCTGCCGGAAGAGCAGCGGCGGCGGTGGTGGTGGTGGCCGGGACGCAGGACAGCACGCACGAGGCCCGGCGTGTCCGGCGCGCGCCGCCTCCACACGGCACGCGCCGCACGCAGCGCGCAGTAAGAGTCGCCCAGCCTCATCGCATGCGCCGTGCTGTGCCGCTGCTTGTGCGGCGCAGAGGATGGGGCAGTGAGAGGGTGGAGCAAGCAAGTGGAGCGACGCTGACGAGAACGTCTGGCCCAGCCATGACCTGTCCATCACCGCGCGTGCCGACGAGTGCGCAAGGAGCCGGATCTGCTGGCCGCAAAGCACGGCACTCTGGTCCTGCATCTCCGCACAGGGGCGTGTGACCAGCCCGTTGCGTCCTCGAGCCGCGCCTGACGCCGGCCGCGCTTGCCTGTCCACTCCGCAGGGCCTCACTGCATTCTGGCGGTCAAGGGGACGCTCTGTGCCTGCCTGAACAGGGACAGAGAGAGGTGTGGGCTGGAGGTGCTTATCTCGGGACGGCGTAGGAGCGGTGATGCGGTCCCACACTCGACTGCGTGGGAACGGCGGCGCACCGCCGTGCCGCTTTCAACTTGCGGCGCGGCAGCAGCAGCCCGGCACTCAGACTCGGCGTGGTGCGGGGAACTCGCCGAGCGGCCTTGCTCGGCTCCGGTCAGCCAGTTGCAGCGGGCAGGCCAGCAGCCCAGAAAGGCAGCTTGGAGGCAGATCTCGCCAGGGCAGCGCCTCTCTCTCCACCACCACCACCGCCATGCCGCCGATCCCCAGCATCTACGACACGCACTGCGCCGGCGCCGGCCTGCTCGCCAGCACGCCCGTGTGGGGCGCCTTCAAGCGCTTCCGCCACCGCTACTTCAGCGACGACGCCAACGCGTTCCCCGAGCCGCCGGCGTGCGACCTCACGGGGCAGAACGTCATCGTCTCGGGCGCCAACTCGGGCATCGGCTTCGAAGCGGCGGCACTGTTCGCCGCGCGCGGCGCCAGCGTCGTCCTCGCCTGCCGCGCGCCGCCGCCGCACGAGCCGCACCCCGACGCCGCCATCGACAGCATCCTGGCGCGCCACAGGCACGTCAAGCGCGAGAACCTCGAGTGGTGGACGCTCGACTGCGGCGACAGGCAGAGCATCCTGGCCTTTGGGCGGCGCTGGCGCGAGAGCGGGCGCACGTGCGACATTCTGTGCAACAATGCCGGCAGTGCCTTTGGCGCCCTCATCCACACCAAGGACGGCGTCGAGCTGACGCGGCAGGTGAGCCGCGCGAGAGCCAGGCCTCGCGAGCCTGCCGAGTGCTCACACCCGCCGGCAGGTCAACTTCCTCTCGCACTGCCTCCTCACCTTCCTCATCCTGCCGTCCATGCGCAACGCCAAGGCGCCGCGCGTCGTCAACACGTGCAGCATCTTCCACTTTGGCGGGCGCCTCGACTTCAGCAACATGGACTACGAGCGCGCACCCAAGACGGCGCGCGGCCTCGGCGGCACGCTGAGCTACTGCGACAGCAAGGTGAGCAGCGAGGGGCCGGGCGGTGGCCAAAGCTGCAGGGGACACCAGCGTGGTAACCCGCAGTGGCCACCGCCTGCGGCTGGACAGACCTCCTGCTGACACCTGACCCAGCTCTGGCTGCTGATGTGGACGCGCGAGCTGCAGAAGCGCCTCTCGCGCTCGCAGCACTACCGCCACGTCATCGCACACGGCGTGCACCCCGGCGTGAGTAGCGATCCTCGCTTGTACCTCTGCACCGCACACTCATCCTCCGCAGTTCGTGAGCACCAACATCTGGAACCAGCCGCACATCAAGGAGCTGCCGTGGGTGCTGCAGTGGCTGCTCGTCAAGGTCATCGGCCTCTTCTCCATCTCGCCGCAGCAGGGCTCGCTGTGCCTCACGTACGCCGCGCTGCACCCGGCCTACGGCTTCACGCCCGCGCAGCTCGCCGAGTACCCGGCGCGCGGCGAGAGCGCCAAGATTGGCGGCCTCTTCTTCAACCGCACCAAGCCCGGCGTCACGCGCCCCGAGGTCGACGACCCCGTCGCGACGGCGCGCCTCTTCGAGCGCGCGCTGCAGGACGTCGGCGGCAAGGAGGTCGCCGAGGACGTGCCGGGCGCCGCGCCGGGCCTGGAGTGACGTGGCATAGACGTAGCCCGGATCTGCTTATGTATGCGCAATGGACCGCGTGCGTAGCGTGGCCAGAGCTGTTCTCAGGCACGGCCGGGTGTCCAAGTGGGTATAAGTTGCCGCGTCTGCCCGCCAGAAGCGTCATGCGACATCGGTGTGCCATCGCTGCACGACATTGGCTGTGCGCTCATCGCGGTAAGCGCGCTGCGCCACCCTAGCACCACACCACTCACGATGGCTGCGCGAGATGCCGCGCCATGCCACGGCGCCAAACGGCTCCTCGGCGGCGCCCCAGAGGTCCTGCGCCGGCACGTCGGACTTGCGCGCCTCCAGTGCCTTGGCGCCGCTGTTGCCCAGCAGCGACTCCGGCAGCGGCTCGACGACGGAGCTGAGCGCGGGCATGGAGAAGAATGCGACCTGTCGGTGAGGGAAGAAGTGCAGAGCGCAGAGCGCAACAATGGAGAGCGACACAGCCATCAGCACTTGCACGCCCCTCGCCTCGCCGCTGCGACGCACCGAGTAGCGTTCCTGGCCGCCGGCCTCGCTGCGCACGCGGTGCGTCGCCGCCACCAGGGCGCCGCGCGAGACGCGCTCCAGCTGCTGGCCGGCATTGACGACGATGCAGCCAGGGCGGTGCGGCACGTCGACCCACTCGCCGGTGCCCAGCTGCACCTGCAGGCCCTTCGCTGTGTCCGTCGCTAGCAGTGTGAGCCTGCGAGGGCCGTCAGCAACGCAAGCAAGGGGCCGGAGCAGAGACCGCTCACCAGCCGCCGTCCTTGTGTGCGCCGACGCCCTGCTCGCCTTTCCTCTCTGTGCCATCCACTGCACTGCCGGCCGGGTAGCGGATGGCCTTCATGCGCGCGTAGCCGTCGTCCTGCTCGGAGCGCATGTAGCACTCCAGCGCGCCAGCTGGCAGCTGCAACGCCGCCTCGAGCGCCCGTGTCAGCTGCGCCGCCAGCTGCTGTGCGGCGGCAAAGTAGGCGAGCGTGGTGTCGCGGTGCGCCGGCAGCGCGGCGTCGGGCAAAAACTGGTTCGGGCCCAGCAGGCGGTGCGGCACAAACGATGACGAAGGCCGCGAGGACACTTCGGGTGCGTAGTCGATCTGCGCCGTGGGACGGAGCGTCAGCGGCGACGGCGGCGGCAGCGCGCGCTCTGCGCCGCACCTGGTCGCGGTGGTCCGTCTGGCCCTGCGTCAGCTCGCTGCCGAAGGGCGAGTAGCCGCTGCGGGAAGGCACGTCAGCCGCGGCGTGCTCCAGCATCCAGAGCTCCACGTCTGCTCCTGCGCTGCACTGATGCTGCTGCACGCGACCGATTCCACTGCGCCTCTGGACGCATTCAGCCTCTTCTCCCACCGCCGCCCCTCCTTGTGTGCTCCTCTGCTCCGCTCACTCTCTCTCTCTCTCTCTGCCCGCTCTCCGTGTCACGTACCGGAATGCGGCGCTCTGCTCCATGGCGATGCGCATGCGCGTCTCGCGCGGCAGGGCAAAGAAGGCGTGCGAGAGGGCAAAGATGTCCTGCCGCAGCGCCTCGAGCGGCGAGGCGGCGAGATAGACGAAGCCGACGTGCTGCATGGCGTGCAGCAGCTGTGCCAGTGCCGCCGGCTCGTGTGCGGCGAGGGCGGCGTGGTCGATGCTGGGCCAGGCGGCGGACATGATGGTGGTGGTGCAGAAGAAAGAGCGGGGCCAGCGGCAGCCGTGTCTGATGGGCGCCGCGTGCAGGTGTGGGCGCGGCGAGCACGCCATCCACTTCCAGGCCGCCGAGGTGCTCCGTGCGCCGCGGCCAGCCGTACGAGGTGCTCCGTGCGCCGCCGCGTGCGCGGCCAGCTGGGTGCGCCTTAAGTTTGAGTTGTCCCTTTTGTATTCACCGCCTGGCGCAACCAGACAAGATGATGCTTCTTCTTCTCTCGCCAGTGCAGAATTGCCGGTGCTGCATGCGTGGTCCGGCGCGGCATGGCATTCTCTGAGCTGCGTGCAGCCGAAGGTGTCAGTGAGCGCACAGACAGGTGTGTGTTCGCCGATGCCAAGCCGGCGGAGCGCGGTGAGAGCATGCACATGTACCTCGGGGAGCGAGCGTGCGAAGTCTGGCCTCGCTGCTGAGACGCAAAAGAGGGCGTGAATGAGGGCCGAGCGAAGAGGAAGCTGCTGGAGACAGGAAGACTCAAAGGCAAGGGCGAGATTGCCGCACCCCGCAGTGAGGTCCGCACGAGCCGCTGTACCCCGCAAGCAGAAGGTCTCGCCGAGCAAGCCTAGCGCCGGAAATCTGTAAATCAGCGGATCAGCGCCGAGGCGGGTAGAGGCAGGACGCGAGCCGCCGCCGTGCGGTGACGCATGGATGATGGCCGACGTGCGGCGGAAGCGCCGCAGATGCGGTGCGGAGTGCAGCGCGCTAGCCGCTTCTCCCGCCGCGTTCCTCGCATCACTCGCACCTCTCCACACCACTGACACCGCCGAGGGGCCACAGCCGCAACCAGAGACGCAGCACCTGGCAGCGGCAAGAGGAGTGGCGAGCGAGGCACACATAAAGCGCGCTGCGAGGGGCACGGGCTGTCGCACGCACCCCCATCCTCCAGCCCCCTCTTCGACGATGCGCTTCTCCGGCGTCCTGCCCCTGCTGCCTGCGCTGCTCGCCGCCGCTCCTGCCCACGCGCAGTCGGGCTCGAGCATCAGCGTCAGTGTCTTCGGTGCCCTCTCCTCGGCAGCGGCCACCGCCACAGGCAGCGTCGCCTCGTCTGCTGCCTCGACGGCCTCGTCGACGAGCAGCGCAGCGCCGCAGCAGACGCCCGGCTTCGTCAACAACGGCACTGTCGGCATGTACCCGTGCGCCGGCGGCAACCCGGACAGCGTCAACACGCCGCTCTCGAACCGCACCGATGCCGCCATGCCGGCCGACAGCTCGAGCACTGCCGCTGCCAGCTCGTCCGACGCCTCTTCGGCCTTGGGACAGATGACTCTCAACTCGACGTCGAGCTCGTCGCGCCTCTATGCGCTCGGCATCGACTACGGCAGCTGTCCCGAGGCACAGGCGCCGGCCTATCCGACGCAGCCCATCCACCTGCGTGCGCCCGACGACAGCGTGCGCGCCACCTTCTCGCCCTACGGCGCCGGCGTCACCGAGCTCTGGGTCAAGGACCGCTCGGGCAAGTTCCGCGACGTTGTGCTCGGCTTCGACAACATCACCAACTACCTCACCGACCCGCTACACCCCAACTTCGGCCCCATTGTCGGCCGCTACGCCAACCGCATCCAGAACGGCACGTACGAGATCGACGGCACGACGTACCATGCGCCGCTCAACGAGAACAACGTCTCGACGCTGCACGGCGGCACCGTCGGCTACGACCGCTCGCCGTTCGAGATCGTCTCGCTCAACGCCTCGGCCGTCACGTTTGCGCTGACGGATCCCGACGGCAACCAGGGCTTCCCGGGCACGGTGCGCAGCCACGTCTCGTACGCGCTGCGTGCTGGCGGCGTGTGGAGCATCGCCATGAACGCCACGGTGACCGAGAAGAAGTCGCCCATCATGCTCTCGTCGCATGCCTACTGGAACCTCGACGGCTACAAGCGCGAGGACAACGAGACGACGATCCTCGACCACGTGCTGCACCTGCCGCAGGCCGACAAGTACATCGAGGTGAGCCGGCGCTGCCCTGCCTTTGCCCGAGCTTTCGGCTGACCTGACTTCGTCGCGCAGACCGACTCGCTCCTCATTCCCCGTGGCCCGGTTCCCGACGTCGACGGCACGCCGTTCGACTTCCGAGAGGCGCGGCCGCTGTCGGAGAGGTTCAATCAGACGGAAGGCATCTGCGGTCCCGAGTGTTTCGGCTGGGACAGCTGCTGGGTGCAGTCTTCGCCCGACCTCGCACAGCCGGCCATCGAGATGTACAGTCCGCAGTCGGGCATCAAGGTTTCGGTCGTGAGCGACCAGCCGGCGATCCAAGTCTACACGTGCTCGGGCATCTCGGGCGCCAAGGGCTCGCTGCCTCGCAAGCGCAGCCAGGGCGGCGACGGCACGCTGGCGCAGATCTACGAGAACCACTCGTGCATCGTGCTCGAGATGGAGGAGTGGATCGACGGCATCAACCACCCCGAGTGGAACCGCACGCAGATCTACGCGCCCGAGGGCCAGCCGTACATCTGGAATGCCGACTACACCTGTGAGTCCGACGACGCTACGCAGCCTGCCGCCCCTGCTGACCTCTCCGTTCGCAGTCTCGCAGGTCGACGAGTCCGGCAACGCCGTCTCGAGCAACGCGACCTCGACGCAGTCGAGCTCTGCTTCCGCTGCGGCCTCTGCCACCTCGAGCGTCGGCGCGGCAGCCTCGACGTCGTCCACATGAGCTCTGCAGAGAATCTCCTTCTCCCACCCTCGCCGCGTGGTTCGTCAGCTGCTCTGTTTCCGGCGCAATGTGTGATGATGTATTAGCAGTTCCTTGACTAGTGGCGACCGAATGAGAGAGGCGGGAATCCGGAGCATGGGAAGCTGTGCTGAGCAGAGGAGGAAAAGGCGGACGGAGGCTGGCGATCTGGACTAGCCGCGACGAGTGAAGACGCGCGACATGCCGCGAGCGAAGCGAGGCGTGAGCCACAGAGACAGAGGAATGCGCAGGGGCAGGAGCATCTGTAGCGAGAGGTCAGCACGTCCCACAGCCTGCTGCATACATGCGGCACTCACCTTGACGATGACATATGCGCCGAGCGCGTCTCTGACCTGGCCGATCTTGACGTCGCCCGCAATCTTCTGCGCACGGCCGCCGAGCGCGCCGCCGATGCTCTGCTTCAGCGACTTCTTCTCCTTGACCTCGTCGATGGCCGCGTCGGCCTGCTCGAGGCCCTGCTGCTTGCCGCGCTTGTACTCGTCGGTGACCTGCTGCAGCATGGCGACTGGGTCGTCCTTGCCCTTCTTGACGGCGCCGACGAGGCGGAAGATGGCACCTCCACCTGCCCAGGCGCCGCTGGCGACGCGCTTCAGGCCCATCTCGACGGCGTCCTCGACGGTGGGCGCACGCTTGGTGCCGGCATCGGTCGTGCCCTCCTTGATGCCGAGGCTGGAGCATGCCCAGTCGGGCAGCGGGCGCGCCAGGAAGTAGGCCGCCTGCGGGCCAGCGACGAGACTAGTGCCGAGGCCCGTGTAGCGCAGCACGGCGTACGCCGGCAGCAGCGCCAGCTGGGCAATGGTGACGTGCACGCCGGCAAAGGTGAGGGCGTGCTTGAAGGGCGCCGCACGCACGGCGGCCATGCCGCGCAGCGCCGCCGTCTTTGCGGCGTCGGCGGCCGCCTCGGCGCCCGCTCGCTGCGGCCCGGCGGCGGCGGCGTAGGCGCGCCACGACTCGGCGCTGAAGCGCGGCAGCGCGTTGAGCATGCCCAGCGAGCCGCGCGGGCCGAGCGGGCGCGCAGCTGGCAGGGCTGTGGGTGCGAGAGGCGCCCGCGGCGCAGAGGGGAAGAGGTGCGACATGGCGGAGGTGGTGGTGGGAGAGAGGGAAAGGGAGCGGGCCCCTTGGAGGAGCCTGCTTGCGGACAAGGGACAGCGCGGTGCAGCAGCACCCAGCAGGCGCAGAGCGGGCTTCGCAGCGCGGAGCATGATGCGCCGCTGCGTCATCGGCGAGCGGGTCCAGCGCCGCCGCCGCCGCCGCCGCCCGCGGCCTGATGCTGACCGACGACGGCACGTGCTGCACCCCGCCTGCCTGAACGCACGCCCTGAGAGCTTGAAGCGACTCTACTCGAGACTGCCTGGATTGTGTGCTATCCATCCTGAGAGACTTGCGTGCGAGTGAGGTGCTGTGCAGCGAAAGCGTGCATGGGCAGCGCGGTCTCGGCGCGGGGCAGCGCCGCGAATCTCCGCAGCCCGCGCCGGCGTCCATGTGGCTGCGCACAGCGCCCATATGCTCTTCATCGATGCTGCTCTGCTGCGTGTGGGCGTAGCTGAGGCATCTTCGTCAAGCTCAGCCTGCTGCCTGTCCGTGCCCGATGCCGAGGAAGGTGCCTGCGAGGTTGCTCTTTGGCGGCATGCGGAGGCGGGGCGCCGTCGCGTGTGGAGGGGCGGCGCTGCTCCCACGCGCGGCGCGGCCGGCTCCGCTCCTGCGCCGGCCTGGGCGCGCCCCTGAAAGTGATGAGCGGTGACGGCTTGGCAGCTTGCGCCGCCGTGCCGCGCCGCTTCCTTTCGCTCCTCATTCTCCTCGTCGCCGATTTTGCTGCACAGCGCATTGGCCTGCGACTGCGTGCCTGCAAGTGACACTCTCGACTTGCTCGCAGCCATGACGCCCGCCGATGCCCCTCCACCTGCGCCAGCCGCAGCGGCGTCGAGCAGCAGCGAGGCGCCGCCGCCGCCGGCTGGCGTCTCCAGCGCCGCAGCCATCGCCGCCGAGGCCGCCGCCGCACTGGCGCTCGTCGCCTCGCATCTGCGCGCCTCTGAGCTGCCCAAGCTGGCGCTGGCGGCGCGCGCCGTCGAGCTCGGCGCAGCGGCAGAGGCGCGCGAGGGGCAGGGCGAGCAGGAGCAGGGCGCCGACGTGCGCGTGCTGGCGCTCGTCAGCAATGTCGAGAGCGGGCGCGAGGAGAGTGCGTGAGTGGCGCTGCGGCGCAACGGGCGGAGGGCATGGCGGGCAGAGCAGGAGCGCTGTGGGGCGATGCGGCCGTCACTACGCCTGCTGTCGCTGCTGGGCGATGCGGCCGTCACTACGCCTGCTGTCGCTGCTGGGCGATGCGGCCGTCACTGCGCCTGCTGCCGCTGCTGGACGATGCGGCCGTCACTACGCCCGCTGCCGCTGCCGTGCTCATCACACCTTCCCGCCCAGACTGCTGCTGCTCCGGCCGCGCCGCCGCAACGCCAGCCGCGCGACGTGCGAGGCCGTGCTGGCCATCCTGCCGACGCTGCGCCTCGCCTGCGTGCGCTACAGCGCCGCCGCCAGCGCGCTGGACATCGAGGCGCTGCTGGCCCGCGGCATCGAGCTGCCGCCCCGGGAGGATGCAGAAGAGGACGAGTGGCTGCTGGCGGCGGCGAGCGGTGCACAGTGGCTTGTGTTCCGCTCAAGAGACACGTGAGTGTGGAAGTACAAGCCAGTCACATCACCAGAACTCACACAGCACTCAGGCAAGGCGTGCGTGACCTGCTCACGCTGCTCCAGGGCCACAAGGAGAGCAGTGCCTGTGCGTTGCGCCGGCTGGGTGAGACAGAGCTGCGCAACTGATCGCCAGGTCCTTGTGCCACAGCTCCGTCGGCGTCGACTTCGCCGCCGCGGTCGACGCATGCATGGCTCGCAGCCTACCACGACGACGTGCTGCCGGCCTCTGCGCCGCCGCTCTTCTCGCGCTGTGGGTGCAGCACGCAGCCTTGCGCAGAGTGCGTTCTCGAGCGCTGACTCTAACGTACCACCGGCAGTCGCATCGCAGCCGCCGCTGCCGCCACGGCCTCCGCGCTCCTCTTCGCCGCCGCCCGATGAGCTGCGTCTCGCGGTAGGCACGTACAACGCCGCCGGCCTCGGCCCGCTCCACTCGCCTGGCGCACGGCATGCGCGGGCATGCTGGCTGGCGCGCGCCGCGCGCTCGGCTGATCTGGTCGTCGTTGCGTGAGTGGCCTTGCGAGCGAGAAGCGGGGCAGGGCTGATGCCACGAAGGACAGGCTGCAGGAAGGCGAGATTTCTCAGACGGCGTACCTGTACCACTCGCCTGGCATCAAGGAGGCGTGGGCTGCGGAGCTGGCGCTGGCGCTCGGCGAGGAGGCGCCGGACTTTGATCTCGTGAGTGGCGCTGTGAAGGTGCTGTGCAGCTCTGCTGACTCGGAGCGGCAGGTCGTGGCAGAGCAATACGCGCATCTCTTCCTCTTCGTCTTCCTGCGCCGCCCGTCCACGAGCGATGCTGCCGCCACAGCACACCCCGCCGCCGAACAGCTGCTGCGCGCACCGCCCGCGACTGCTTCGATCGGCGTCGGGCTCGGCGGCTGGCTCGCCAACAAGGGCGCAATCGGCGCCAGCCTGCGTCTGTCTCTGTCAGGGGCAGCCGACAGCGAGAAGCAGGGAGCGACGAAGCGCACCGAGATCAGCGTCGCGATCGTCGCGACGCATCTGCCTGCGTTCGAGGGAGCGCCGGCAAGAGAGGCGAGGCGAGAGGCTTGGCGCGAGATTGAGCGGAGGTTGCAATTCCCTGCGTTCGCTGCGCATGGAGCACACATTGCGCCTTCTGCGGCTGGCGAGGTCAGGCCTGAGGTCGGCATCATGGAGCACGAGTGAGTCGTCTCTGCTCTGCTCCCACATATAGCACCGCTGATGCGAGGGACCCAGCCTGGTGGTCGTGGCCGGCGACGTCAATTCTCGGCTAGCGCTCAACAATGCAGAAGTGCGGCGTGTGTTGCGGCGCGAGGCACGCTCGCCGTCTGCGGCCGTCGCCGCCGGGGCCTCCAATGCCCCCGCGGCCCCGGAGAAGCAGGATGCACGGGCGACGTACGAAGAGACGCTGCTCCACTTCGACGAGCTGCGGCAGGAGATGAAGGACGGCGGCGCGTGGCATGGATGGCAGGAGATGCGCATCGAGTGAGTGCGACCGTCTCCTCGTCAACGTGCCGGTCGGGGTGCTGACCGTGGCGGCGTGCGCGCACAGCTTTGAGCCGACGTATAAGTATGACTTGGAGAGCGACACGTTCGACAGCAGGTGCGCGGTGCTCTACGTTTGTGCGGCGGGCTCCATGCTTACGCTCGACTACTACAGCGTCAAACAGCGCACGCCTGCCTGGACAGACCGCGTGCTGTGGCGCATGCCGACGAGGTCCAGCGCTGCGGCGCTGCAGGTGCGCGGTGTCGAGTACGCCTCCGAGCCGGCGCTGCAGACGTCGGATCATCGCCCAGTGCGCGCTACGTTGGCGCTGCGCTCCGGCGCAAGAAATTAGACTGTCTGCCGGCCAACTGTCTGTCTGTGCGCTATGAGGACAGGTCCAGGGAAGCTATTCGTCTTACAACGTGCAGCTCTCCAACAAGATCGTCAGCCACGACGGCGGGACCGGCGGCGGGCCTCGTGCTTGCTCGTTTGCAATGCCGTGGATTTCAAACGCAGTGTCAAGCCCAACAACCATGAAGTTTGACATGAATGTGGTCAATCTCTCGTCAGTGAAGTGCAGGTGCAGTGTGAGCTTGGTGAGAGGGCAAATGTACAGTATGCCGTGCTGCGGTCCTGCACTCCAGTACGGTACGCAGAAGCAGCCTCAAAGCGCAGGACCAAAGGGTGCAGCGCCACCCCGGACAGGAAGTAGATCGATGCGCTGTGCAGCCCCAGAGCTCAGGAGGCGCAGAGATGGTCAGTGTCGGGCTGTCGGCGCGCCAGCGCATGGTGCGTGCACACAATGGTAACTCCGACGGTGCGGCGCACATGGCGTGCAGCTGCAAGTTTGGTCCGAGGCACGCGGCGCCGCCGTACCCACACTGCCCAGCAACATTGTCATGGTGGCACGCGGCCTGCGGCACTCAGCATGCAGTACTGCAGCGCAGGAAAGGGAGGGCTTCTGGCGGTGGAAGCGAATCTGCATACCACACTGCGGCCAGCGCATCGCCGCGCTCTGCGTGCATCCTGCATCCGGCACTTCGGGTCCGAGTTGGACCCTGGGCCGGGACCTGACCCTGGCCGGCGCCAGCCATGGCATGCGGCGTGCGAACAGCTGGCCACGGGACCGGCGCCGGACACGAGGTGCTGCGTGCTGCACGCGTGGTCCGACGACAGACACCAGCGCCAGCCGGGTCCCAGACCCTGCAGGTTGCCGTTGTGTGCCCGATGCTCGGCTGGCCGCTCCGTGTCCGCTGTTGCCTCGCTGCTCACTTTGCCTCGGACTTTTCTGCGGACAACTGGGCAGCAGTCCGCCACTCCCGCGCTCGCATGGCCGGCGCACCGCAGACGCCTCGCAGCCGACGAGGTCCCACACCTGACACATGTCGCGCTGCATCTGGACGATCCTTGCCATTCCTTGGATTTGTGATCCGCACGCGGCGGCCCCTCGGACAACTCCGCTTCAGGAATCGCGGCAACCCCGAGGAGACTGCTCCAGCCCCATGCCCCATGCACTCACCAGAGCTACTCAGGAGACGCGGGAATGGCCTGCGGGATCGGTGCCGCAGTGCGTGCTTCTGTCTGCATGCTGGGCATCTGTAGATCCTGTCAGACAGTCGACGCCAACACACAGACAGAATGCAGCAAGCATGGTGCTTGGCACAAGCTTCGCTGCTCTCATACCTGGTGCCGCGAGGATGTCGCTGTAGCAAAGACTGTATATAGGCACTCCCTGAGATGCTCTTGCTCCTCCATCCTCAGCAAGTCCCGCCTCCCCTCCATGCGCTTCCTTCCCCTCCTCCTGGCGGCGCTGCCGCTGGTTGCCGCGCTCCCCGCGCCTGCGGAGCCCGCCAATGCCAGCGCCGTTGTCGGCAACGAGCGTCACCTTGGCTGGCCCTGCACCAAGTCAAGCCAGTGCGGGACCAAGGACCTCTACTGCCGTCGCGGCAAGTGCGACGTCCGCAAGAAGCTTGGTTCAAAGTGTTACAAGTCAATCGGGGTGCGTGAACCCGGCATTCCTTTCCTCAATTGCTTGCTGACCCCCAACACCGCCTCTCTGCGTGTGCTGCTCCACAGTGCATCTCCAACAAGTGCTCGGAGAAGCGCTGTGTCGCCGGCGCCGTGCTGACGCTCGGCGAGCGGTGCGAGACAAGCAAGTCGTGCGCGTCTACGTACTGCGGCAAGTCCAAGTGCGCCGTGCCGCAGCCCGTCGGCGCCGATTGCTACAAGTCAGCCGGTGTGCGTGCCCCTCCTTGCTCCCTCTGATGCCGACTGCAGCTGATTCTTTGCGCCACAGTGCCTGTCTGGCATCTGCACGGACCACAAGTGCGCAGCGCCGGCGACAACGCCAAACCCGGATCCTACGACGCCACCTACGACGCCCAAGGACCCCTCCGCACCTCAGGATCCCTCCTCGCCCCAGGACCCCTCCACGCCCACCAACCCGACGCCCAACCCACCGACAGATGAAGTCGGCAACGTCTCGGACAACGGCCACTTTGAGGACGACGAGGCCGGTCTTGCGCCATGGCAGACGATCGGAGAGACAAAGCGCAGCGACGTTGACTATACCGCATGGGACGGGACACATTACGCAATTCTGGAAGTCAACGAGGCCGGAGGCCCCGGACTGTACCAGCAGCCGTACACAGAACCGCCGCCGACGAGAAGAGACGGCCTTGAGGCGCGCGACACGCAGATCCCCAGCGCATACGACGTCTCGCTGAGGTACCGTGTGAACAAGATTGCCAACGCTGGAGCAAAGGGCTGCCGCCTGGCGGTCCTCTATGATGGAAAGGCGCCAGACGCCAGTGGTGTTGTGCGGTACACCAGCGCAAGCAGCGAGTGGAAGGAGCTGCGCGCCAACGTCAAGAGCGACGAGGCCATCCAGTACCTCTTCATCGTCATGGACTGCCCCGACGGCGGCACCACAACCGTTCACATCGACGACATCAACTTTGTTCCTTTGGCGCCGGAGGAGCCTGCCTTCACGCCAACTGATGTTGCCATGAACGGAGGTTTCGAGAGCGGCGATGACTTCTGGACCTTCGAGGGCAACGCCGAGCTCAGCACGGCGTACCCTGCGGCAGATGGAATCTACACCGCCCGCTTGTACGACGATGGCGGCTTTGTGCGCCAGCTCATTGAGCTGCCCGCCGGCACAAAGGTGCAGGGCTTTCACTCGTACGATGTCAAGTTCAAATACCGCCTCGTGAGCTATGCCCAGGGCGATGCAAACGTCGGTGTGCCTGCTTGCAGGCTGGACGTGTCCCGCGACGACGAGCGGCCGACAAAGCAGTTGGAGCTGGGCGCAGGGGACGTTGGCTTGTCGTTTGTCGATGTGACTGTCACCGTCACCAGTGACCAGGACTTTGTCAAGGCCATCATGATTGACTTGTACTGCGGCGACCACGAGAATGCAAAGGCAGAAATCCTCATCGACGCCGTGCAGATCCTCAGCCGAAACTACACACCCCCAACGACGACGCCGACGCCAACGCCCACGCCCGAGCCGACCAAGACGGAGCCGACAAACGTCGCCCGTAACCCGGGTTTCGAGAGCGGCAAGGATCAATGGATCTTTGCAGGCCAGAGCAGCATTGGCACGGAGAACTCAAACTTTGACGAGCAGTATGCCGTCCTCACGGACCAGTCCTCCATCTCCCAGGTCATCACCATGCCTGCGGAGTCCAAGTACGACGGCTACTACTCGTATGATCTGAAGTTCAAGTACCGGGTGCCGACGTACTCTGGCACCAGCGGAAGCTACTGCATGCTCTATGCCGCGACCGACCGCAAGTCGTGGTACATGTCAAGCGTCGTGACCATCACAAAGGCGGACACCGCCTGGACCGACTACGCCGCAACCGTTGACAGCGACGGCGCGTTCATCGAGAAGGTGTCGGTGGGCCTGATCTGCAGCGGAGGCAGCACGATGAACCTGAACATCGACCAGGTGCAGTTTGTGCCGGGCAAGTACTTGCCTCCGCTGAACGACGTGTGTGTCAACGGTTCGTTCGAGGATGACACAATCGCTCCGTGGGCTGCCACTCTTGCAACGCGCGCCGACGGCAGTGGCAACAGCGGCACGCACTACGCGCTGCTGAGCTCTAGCGGCAGCAACCTCGCAAAACTGACGCAGACCATCGTGCTTCCGGCGCGCTACCCGGAGGACGGCTCGGACGGCTACCATTCGTACAAGGTCTCGCTCGCGTACAAGGTCTCAGCCTTCACCCAGGGCGAGGCCGATCCGGGAACCGAATCCTGCTACTTTGGCCTGTCGTGGAACGACAACGGGGTGTCCTTTGATACAATTGTTCCGATCAAGGCGGATCAGTCCGTGTGGACCAGCTATACCAGGACGCTGAGCGACGAGGGCAACATCAGCAAGATCTCGATCTCTTTCAGTGCACCGTGTCGGCCTCCAGCGCCTTCCTCCAGGTTGACTCGGTCCAGTTCAAGCCAGTCAAGAACTAACCGGTGCGCCGCAGCAGCGACGGCCTCGAAGCGCGCTGCTGAGCCGTCGACAAAGCGTCCATCCACCCCATCGCACATTACCCACACCTTTCCCATACCCCGCCTCACCGGCGGCGTTTCCCTCTTTGCGCCGTTCCCACTTACCCTCACCTCCAGACTTGCTTGCCTCTCTCCCGGATTCCTCTCCCGGATCCACCGCTGCGGCCAGTGCACCTCCGCCTGGCCGGCGCCCCACTGTCTCTCTCCTCCGTCTCTCTTGTTTGCTGCTGCTACACGCGCGTCCAAAGCGTATTGGCTGAGTGCAGCGCATACTGCCCCAGGGCCAAAGCAATGTGCAGCATCCCCACTGAAGCAGCTGTGCCACTGACTAGCCTGCCGGACGGGCTGTGGCGCTGGGAGTCTGACTCGAATGGCGCGGCCCTGTTTTGCACTCTGACTACAGCTGCACTCAGCGCTCAGGGGGTGTACCCTGAAGGACCGCGCGGCGCGACCTGGACCTCGCTCTGAGTCCTTTCTGCCGCCGCATGGCGCGTGACATGCCGCTTCACCGTCCTCATCTCCCGCCACGGATCGCAGCACATACGAGAAGCTGTACACGGCGCAGTGGCGGGTTGTAGCTACCAAGCCGGGCTCTCAGCACTCCTGCGCCGCGGCGAAGCACGCGAGCAAACGGATCTGCCACTCGCCGGGGTACCACGCTCTGCTGGAGCGCCTCGCAACCATGCCGGCCGGGGCACAGCTCGACCGCGTCCTACATCGTATCAGTGTGATTGAGACGGCGCTGGACGCGTATCTCGTTGAAGGAGGGGAAAGATGGTGTCGGCATCACAGCCTGGGACACTCTCGCACCTGCGACGGCACACAGGAGAATGAGTAGGTTCACTGCGCCAATGTGCGAGCTTCCTTCAGACGTGCAGACGGCGCCATCCCTGACCTCTTCAGGCCGATCCGCGTCGCTGCCGGACGGGGAATCGTGCCCCACCCGCTCGCAACCGGCTGCTGTGATGCTGTCGCCGAGGCAGCAACGAAATGCGAGCTGCCTCGCCTCATTCGGTCGTCCGTGGCGTCTCACCCCACACGCCACGCAAGGCCTTGCTGTCAGCGCTCCGGCAGTCAGACTTCCGGTCGAGCAGCCCGTACCGCCGGTCGGGCAGCCCGCACCGCCGTCTGAGCAGGGTGCACCGCCTGCTCAACAGCCCGCACCACCGTCTGGCAGCGCAGGCGTCGCGCCTGCTGCCCGCGACACGAACGGCGCAGCCGCTTCGAAGCAGCGAGAGGCAGCGTCTGCGTCAGGCGCTCTCCGCGAGGCATGGCCCATTCGTACTCCCCGTAGAGGAGGACTCCCGGCGCCCAACACACGGAAGCCCAGCATAGCGAGTCCCGAGACAAAGAAGAAGGGCAAGACCAAGAGGCTCGACGGCGCGCCGGAGGTGCGGTGGCGCAGTCCATTGCGCTGCCCAACGCAGCATGGCCAGCCGCAGGGCCCGCCTCGGCCAATCTGCGGCCGCAGGCTGCAGTCCAGTGGGCTGAGGTGATGCGCGACGCCGCTCGATCGCAGCCGAGTCGAGGACGACGCAGCCCTTGGGTTCAGCGCTGTGCTCAAAGAGGACAGTCGAGCGGCGCGTGCTGCGCCATGCGTCCGAGCCGGCAGAGGGCCGCGTCGGCTTGATGCACGCGCTGGTCACCGATCAACGCACGCCGACAAGAAGGCCCCGAGGCGGGAAATTCGGAGGTCCGGAGTGCCAAGTGAGCATCGCTTGGGCGGCGTGCGTGCAGCTCGCTGACACGCAACAGCTGGTCTTCCATCATGCAGGTGGACGGCGGCAGCGACGCTGGCAACTTTCCCACCTGCGCGCTGGGCTGCCACGCAGCACCGAAGCACCTTCTCAACGTTGCCGCGGCTGCACCCCTCCTCACACCGGTCGACACAGGGAGGAGATGGTTGCGCAGGTGAGGGCGGGACAGACGGCGGGCGGCGGAAACACTGGGGCCGCGCGGCGGAGGGGCAGCCGTGGCTGGGGGAACTCAGAGTACAGGAGGGGCGAGCGGGCGAGACGGGCGGAGCCGGAGTACGAGCGGCGTCGACGCGGGTCTGGGGCGCGATCCAAGACACGGGGATGGAGAAGGCGGACGCGGCACGCCGCGGAGCGACGGCCGGGAGGAGAGCTACGGGACGGTCAGAGAGAGACGGGAATGGGTGGTCCATCGCTAGGAGAGCGAAAAGGTAGTGCGCGACGACGGTGGAGTCGCCGACGCGCTGCACGGCGCCGAGGTAGATCCGACTAGGCCGCCGCAGCGCTGCTGGCCGGCTCGCTCTGCGAGAGAGCCGGCGCAGGGGGGGCGGCTGGGCCCTCGGCATCCGACGAAGCGCCCGAGGCAGCGGTCGCGGGCGGCGAAGGGCGCGTGACCACGGCCGCGACGGCCGCAGGCTTGGCCGATGCGGCAGCAGGCGAGCGGTACATGCGCACGGGCGTGCCGTCGTTGCCGAGCTCGAGGTGGATGGGCGCCAGCTCGGAGGAGGACTGGCCTGCCGGCGTCGACACGCGTGTCGCGCCGTGCTGCTTGGTCGCGGCGGACAGAGCCGAGGCGTGCTGCGCGGCCAGCTCGTTGGGTACGAAGAGGGCCGCAGCGGAGCCAGACTTTGGCGCAGCGGTCATAGAGCCGCGGCGCTGGTCGTTCAGCGCCGACGACGCCATGTACGGCGAGTGAAAGCCGGCCGGTGCCGCAGCGCCGGTGCGATAGACGGCCGACGCGTCGCCACTCTTGCTGTTCGCACCGCCAAGCTGCGCCTTGTCGATGCCGCTGAGGCCGAGGCCGGCGCCGCCGAGGCCGAGCCCGGCCGGACCAAAGGGCATGCCGCCGTTGTAGAGGCCGAACGGGCCGCCGAAGCCGTGGGTCGCGGCGTCAAAGGACGCAGAGCGGCCGAGCAGGGCGGCGTTGCCGTGCATGCTGTTCTGCAGGTAGTTGACGTAGGCGAGCGAGTCAGGCGAGGCGCCGTAGCCAAGAGGGGGTGAGCTGTGCGATGCGAGGAGGGTCAACGAGGGCCGGCAGTATGCGAGACAGCTTCGGCCTACCCAAATACGCTTGACTGCGTCGAGGCGGGGCTGAGGCTTGGCGTGCTCATGCCGGGGCTGCCGCCAAGGAACGGACTTGTGTTGCGGCTGCCAAAGGCGTACGGCGCAAAGATGCCTGCGCCGCCGACGAGGTGCGGCGAGGTGAACATGGCCGCCGTGGCGGCAGCGGCGACGGCGGCCGCCTGCGAATTGTCGGCGCGCGCGCCGGCCGTCGGCGTGGGCGCAATGCCGCTGCCGGTCAGCTTCGGGCTGGCAGCGTCACCCGAAGCGACACCGCCGGTCTGGCGTGCGTTGGCTGTCGTCTGCTTGAGGCGCTTCTGTGCCTCGCTGTCGGCGAAGCGCACCTGCAGCGGCGTCGAGGTGCCGGGCAGAATCTGCTGGAAGGGTGAGCACGCGTCCTGGTCTGGCTCGCCCGCTGCATCTCACCTTGCCGTGCAGGCGGTCGATGCACTCCTGCGCGATGTCACGGTCGCGCAGGCGCACGAAGCCTACGCCGCGCGAGACGCCGTCGTTGTCCGTGAGGATGCGCAGACTGACGACGACGTGCGGCGCAAAGAGCTGCTCCAGCGCCGAGCTGTTCATGTCCAGCGGTAGGCTGTGCTCGCCGTCAGCGAGGAACAGAGACAGCCGCGCGCCACGGCGTACTCACTTGCTCAGATAGACATTGGCGCTGTCGTGATCGGCCATGCGACGCAGCTTGGAGCTGAAGCTCTCCTGCCGAGGCACGAGCGTCAGCAGACGACGAGAATACACTAGCGCGAGCGCCACTCACGCGTGCCCACGACGTCTGCAGGCCGTAGCTGGCAATCTGGGCCAGCGCCCATGTCGCCTCCTCCGTCGTGCTGTACATAAGAAAGCCATAGCTGCAAGGCAGGACGGTCAGCTGTGCCGAGATGCCTCGACGTCGCCGCACGCACCCCTTGCACAGGCCCGTCTCGGCGTTGATGATGGCCTTGTGGCTCGTGACCTTGCCGAAGCAGCTTCCGAGACGGAGCAAGTCGTCGTCCGACGTGCTGGTGCCACAAAGTGGTGAGCATGCGCGAGGACAGATCTTCGGCCGCACTCACTGGCTCGGCAGACCGTTGATGTAGACGTTCGTCGACGGGTCGAGCAGGTCTTGGTGCTCCGCCGAGCCGAGGCGTGCGTCGACGATGCTCGGCGTGCCTGTGACAGACAGTGTCAGCAGAACGTCGTGCCGGCGGATCGCTGCGACTCACCAGCGACGACGCCGTGGCCCATGGCGAGCGCGGCGTCAATGTTGGCGGCAGCGGCGGCGGGCATCAGTGGGCCGCGGTACGAGCGGAGGAGGACCTGGCGCACAATCTCCTGCAGCGCCTGCGGGTGCAGCTGGGCGAGCGGGTCGAGCATGGGGTGCTGCGCGGGCAGCGCCGCCGGCTGCGGCGGTTGTGCCTGACGCAGAGGCGCGCCACGGACAGGCGCCGCTGCCGAGCGAGCGTGCTGCACCGCAGCAGGCGCCGCCGCCGGGGCGCCCGAGGGCGCCGCAGCGAGCAGCGACTGCGGACGCGGGCGCGGCGCCGCAGGGCCGGCCGCCGCACGCACGACGGCCGGCGAGCCGGCGCCCTTCTCGGGCTCGCCCTTCTTGACGCCCTTGCCCGGCGTCGCGGCGGCGCCGTCCTTGGCGGCGTGCAGCGAGGCGCCCGAGTCGCGGGCCTTGGCCGGCGTGGCGGGCGCGCGCGGACGGCGCACGGCCGGCGCCGGGCGCGGCGCCGTGCTGCTGGCGACGACGGCGGCGCCCTTGCGGCCCTTGGCGGGGCGTGCGGCACGCGCGGCGTCGGGCGCGGCAGGTGCGACGTTGGACGTGTCCTTGAGCACTGCCGCCGCCGAGCGCACGGCGTGGATGGAGTCGGCAGACATGGCGGCGCGGCCGCGGCGACGGCGGAGGGAGTGGGGCAGCGCGCACCGGCGGGAGCGGAGTAGTGCGGGGTGGCGAAAGAATGGGAGAGGGGCTTGACTGGCGAAGACTTGAGGGCTTGACTGGCGAAGACTTGGCGGAGCGGCGCGGCCGGAGTGCGCTGAAGGAGGAGAGAAGTGGTGGCGAGAGGGCAACGAGGCGGCGAGGCGGGCGAGAGTAGATGTGGGCGCTGCCGGCCGGCGAGGGGCATGGCGCTCCTCGCTCTCGACCCAGCCGCTCAGAGACAGCGACGCCCGTCCTGCCGTGCCGCCTTGCGTTGGGTTGGGTCGGGCGTCCACGCCGTCCGCTCGGCTTGCCGTTGGGCAGCGCCGCCGTCGCTCGGCGCTGCGCTGACGTAGCAAGGCAGAGCGGCCGTTGCTGTTGTGCGCCAAGCGCAGACGTTCCGCACCCATCTGGCAAGCGCACCCAGAAGCGGCAAGGCGGCAACCTTCGAGCGGCAGTTGGCGCTCGGGGCGCAGCGCAGCGGCGGCAAGGCCCATCATGCGGATGCAGTGCGGAGAGCAAGCGGCAGCTGCGGGTCCTTGCTCCTCGGCGGCGGCGGCGGCAGGCCGGGTGCCGCATCCCGTGAGGCGCTGGCCGCTCCAGTTGCTCGCAGCCTCCGCGACAACACGCACAATCGCGAACGATCGCCCAGCCGTTGGCGGAGCTCAGCGCTACCCGCACTCGCAAAGCGCTGCAGCTGCGCCTCTGCGTGCTGTTGCGATGTTGCTGCTGGCCCAGCGGCGCCCAACGGGCAGCGTGCAGCCGGTGCTCGAGCGCCGACACGAGTTGAGAAGGATGGCGAGGTGCACGTGGCGCATCGACGCACGAGGAGCGTCGCTGTCCTCGAAGCAGCCCAGCAGCAGGTGCAGCGCGCGGCTTTCTGCCTCTGCACCTGCCGCTGATGCGGTATCAAGGCGGCGCAGACTCGCCCAGCAGCGGCCGGGCTCGCGCAGCTGCGGCATCGGTGTTTGGACGACGAGGCAAGCCAGCTTGAGTGAAGGCTGACGTGAGGCGTGAGGCGCAAGAGGAAGGCGCAGCGCAGGCGATGCAGCGCAAGCGGCAGCCGCTCGGCGCATCATGCGCTGCACCCGTGCCTGACAACCGCGAACGCGCGTGGCGGCCGCGGCGCCGCCGGCTCGATCGGGCAAGGCGCGCCCAGCTCGGCGCTCAGGGGGCGGCGCCGCAGCAGCCCACACCGCGCGCCGCGCGCGGCGGCAGCAGCAGGCGGCGGCGGCAGCATGCGGTGTGCAGCCGCTCAGAGCTGCAGCAGGTGCAGCCTCCTCTGACGCCAGCGAGACGCCCAAGCAGCAGCGCAGCCGCTCAGGAAGAGTGAAGTCGTGAAGGAGAGCATCACGAGAGCTCCCGTCGCACGGCAGATGCGCTGCCTCGCACTCCGCATCCCGGGCTGCCCAGATGCAGCAGCTGCGGCGTCGCCGCTGCCGGCCGTGCCAAAAAGACAGATCGCTGCGCCGGGCATGCCCAACGGCCGCGCACCGCCGGCCTGCACGTGATGCACCGCCGTCGCCTGGGAGGCTGGGCGGCGAGCCGCAGCAGCACTGCAGCTGCGCTCTGCGCTAGACTGCGATGCAGCAGCAGCACCAGCGCCAGCAGAGGCAGTTGAGTCTGCGCTGCAGCACAAGGGCATAGCTGCAGATCCGAGGTGCTGCGAGAAGGAGTGGGAGTAGTAGCAGCGGGCGTCGAGGCGCGTCGTGCGAGAGCCGAGGAGCGGCGCGCCAGACCCGCTCGCATGCAGTCGCGGGACAGCTCGGACGCTCAATCGACTCACATCCGTAAGCGTGCTGCGGTGCTCCGGGCAGACACTCAGCACAGCCAGCAGGTGTGCTCGCGGCAAAGCGAGGGCGATGCGGATATAGGCCGAGAGGCGTGGCGCGTCGGACACACGCGGCCGACAGCGCCGCGCGCCGCCGCGCCGGAGATAAGAAATTTGGCGGCGAGGCGCGCGCGGCGCGGGCGAGCTTCGCCTCGAGGCGGCGAGCGAACAGCGCCGCGCTGGGCTGGCTGGCGACCACCACCACCACACCGCCCCACACGCCCCGCCGCACCATGCAGCCCGGCGACGCCGAGTGGCGCCTCGTCACCAGCGCACCCGCCGCGCCGGCGTCGGCCAGCAGCAGCGGCAGCAGCAGCAGCAGCAGCAGCAGCAGCAGCAGCAGCAGCAGCAGCATCGCGGCTGCCGTCGTGGCAGGCGAGTACGAGGCGGCACTGGGCAGTGCGCCCGTGCTCGAGCTTCTGGCGCCGCTCGCCGCCCAGCTCGGAGCGCACCTGGCCGCTGCGCCGGGCGCCGTGCTCGTGCTGCGCGTGCCCGCGGCGGCGTCGGGTGCGCCGCCACTCGAGCTGCTCGCCGCCGCCGTGGCGGCCCTGCACGCCTTTGTGCGACTCAACTGGACGGGGCCCGCGCTGCCCGACGCCCTCACGCCGCTCGCGCTGCTGCGGCGAGCCGCGCCGGCCGCCTTTCCGCCGCGCGACGCCCAGCGCGCCGAACCCGACGCCGCAGCCGAGGCGGCGCTGCGCGACGGCGCCCTCGACGCCCTCACACGCGGCGGCGAGCCCGCGTACCACCTCTGCACGCAGCCGGCGTGGCTCGTCGTGGCGCAGCACCTGCTTGCGTGCGTCGCCGCCAGTGTGTCTGCCGGCAGCAGTGCGGCGTCCGCGCTGCCGACGCTGGCATGGTGGCAGCTGCGTGCGGCCAGCATCCACGCGCGCATCCTCGACGTGCACGGCGCCCTCGATGCCGGCGTGCTGGGCCGTGCGGCCGAGCTGGCGGCACAGCTGGAGCGCCTCGCCGGCACGGCGCCGGCCTGGCGCATGCTGCGCGGACGCCTGCTTGTCGAGCTTGGCCTGGCACATCAGCGCGAGGGCAACGACAAGGCGGCACGCGACCTCTTCGTCGACGCTGCCCAGGCCAGCGGCCTGCGCTACGAGATCACCGGCGCGCCCGGTCGCCGCACCAAGTGGCAGCAGGAGGACCGCAACCAGCTCGTGCTGCTTGCCGAGAGCCGCGCTGCCGGTCGGGATGAGAGTGCCGAGGATGTGCTAGCGAGCGGCAGCAGCAGCGGCATCAGCGCAGATGCCGGCTCCGCCAGCAAGGACGCCGCTCTGCCAGCGCCGAAGCGCGATGCGGCACCCGAGACAGGCTGGAAGAGCACCGTGGACGAGGCGCTGCCGCAGCACATGCCTGCCAGCCTGCTGCTCAACGACGACACGCTGCTGGAGCGCACTCGCTTCACGTCGTCCGCCGCCGCCGCCGGCCGCGACAGCACGGCGGCTGCAGCGTCGCTAGCCCACCTCGACCCGGGCAATCCGCCGCCACTGTCGCCCGTCGACTCGTGCATTCTGCTTGCGCTCTCGCTCGACATTCGCAACACCTCGCCTGCGCACGGCCTGCTGGCATCGCAGATTGCCGTCTTCGTCGCACGCGTGCTCGCGCATCCGCGCAACTGGAGCGTGCACACCATGGGCCTGCTGCTGCGCAGCCGTCTCGAGTCGACACGCACGCGCACTGCCGAGCGTGGCGTGCTGCAGCTGCAGGCGCTGCTCGACCAGATGCCGTCGACCGACTCGTCGGCGCGCGAGCGGCTTGCCCTCTTCCACGCGCTCGACCTGCCGTCGGCATGGGAGATGCGCGCCGAGCTTGCACGCAGATACGCCGAGCTGGGCGTGGTGCGCTCGGCGCTCGAGATCTTCGAGAGCATCGAGCTCTGGGAGGACGTCGTGGCGTGTCTTGGGGCGCTCGGCCGCTCGGAGGATGGCCGCGCCATCGTCGTCGATCTGCTCAAGGGCAGCAAGGTCGAGGCGGATCACGTCACATCGACACGCAAGCGTGGAGACGCAGCGCCGGCCGCAAGCACGCGCTCTCGCCTCAACTCGGCGCGAGAGGCCAAGCTGTGGTGCCTGCTTGGCGATCTCGAGCCGGACTGTGCCATCGAGCACTACACGCGCGCCTGGGACGTCTCGTCGAGCAGCTCCGCACGCGCCGCGCGCTCGCTCGGTGCGCTGTACTTTGCGCAGAGCGAGTACGGCTCCTCGGCCATCTGGCTGCGACGAGCCCTGCGCATCGCGCCGCTGTACTCGCGCTCGTGGTTCATGCTGGGCTGCGCGCTGATGCGCGACGAGCGCTTCAGCGAGGCTGCGGCCGCTTTCCGCCGCGCCGGCAGCCTGGAGGAGGATGATGCAGAGAGCTGGAACAACCTCGCCAGCTGCTATCTGCGCATGGGCGCTGACGAGGGCGCCGCTCGCGCCGCAGCCATGGCCGAGACTGGCGCCGGAGGCATCGAGGCACACGACCGGGCGCTGGGCCTCGGGCCGCAGGCCACGCTTGCACAGGACGAGGCTGACGAGGACGCGCGCACCATCACCTCGGGCGACACATCACGCGGTGCCGACTCGGGCGTCGACGTCTCGTCCGAGCCCGACCTGCACTTTGACGACGACACCGATGCGCCGGCACCGGCCGCCGGACGCACGCCGTACGAGCTGCGCCTGCTCGCCCACCGTGCGCTGGCACGCGCCGTGCGTTTCGGCCCGGACAACTGGCGCGTATGGGAGAACTACATGATGGTCTCGCTTGACGCCGGCTTCTTCTCCGAAGCATCGCAGGCGCTCTCGCGCCTCATTGAGCTGCGTGTCGGCAGCTCGCGCGACGGAGCTCGGGCAGAGCAAATCGTGGACATGGACGTGCTGCGCCGTCTGGTGGACGGCGTGACTCGCGCGCCGTACGTGGAGGAGCCCGGCACGCTGCGCAACCCCAACGAAGGCCACGGACTGGCCACGGCGGTGCAGGCGCTCTTCGACCGCGCCATCTTCCCGCGCGTCTCGCCGTGGCCGGCGCTGTGGCAGACGTACGCACGCCTCTGTCTCTGGCGCGGCGACCTGCGTCTTGCCCTCGACTCGCACCTCAAGGCATGGACTGCCGGGCCAGGCGACCCGGCAAACGAGGCAATCACGCGTGAGCGGCCGGCCTTCGTGGCGGCCGTCGAGCAGCTCATCGAGCTCGGCGAGCTGCTGGAGAACTTCGGGCCGCGCGACGTGAAGCTCGACGACGGCTCGCGCGAGCCGGCCATGAGCAACTGGGCGTTCCGGGCACGCAGCCTCGTGCGCTCGTTCATGGGCCGCACGAAGGATGTGTTCGAGGACGACGCCGAGTGGGCGCGCCTGGAGGAGCTGCGCGACTCGCTCAAGGGCGCGTGAGAAATAGCCAGCCTTTGCACACCGGCCGCGCAGTCCTGATGATCTTTCGATTGCACGGCTAGGATGGAAACACATCCGCAGCAGACGATCATAGGTACAGCAGCAAAGGTGACGGGAGACAAGATAGTACAGGGGTGATGCGCGCCCGCACGAGGGCGGCGGCAAGTCTAGAAAGAGAGGTGAGGGAGGAGATCAGCGGCGCGAGCGCAGGTAAAAAGCTAGGGTATGAGGGAAAGGAGCAGGAGCGCGGTAAGACTAGTCCTCGGTGGTGGCCTTGCCAGTGCCGGTGGTCGAGCCAGAAGAGCCCGTTGAGCCCGAGCCCGAGCCCGTGGAGCCGGAGCCCGTGGTGCCGTCGGTGGCGCCCGGCCGCGCGGGCGTGCCGACGGCAGTGATGCTGCCGGTCTTGAGCGCCTGCCCGCCGCAGGTGCTTTGCCACATCTTCTCCTCCTCGTGCCCGACGCCGGGCACGACGCAGTGCTGCTGGCGGAAGCTGCTGACCGAGACCGGCGAGACGCTGGCCTGGAGGCGTGCGTAGCCATAGTAGGCCGTCACGTCCGTCGTCGTGCCGGCGAGCAGGTTGCGGTACGCCCAGTAGGCGTAGCTGTGGAGCGGCGTATGGTGTCAGTGCGTGTCTCGCCCGCGCGCGGCAGGGCGCCTCGGCAACTCACCCGCGGTCGCGCCGGTCGACGCCGCCCTGTGCCTGCACGTTGCAGTCCTGCGCGCCGTAGTGGAAGAGCGCGTACGTGTCCGAGTCGCCCGTCATGGTGACGACGTCGCGGGCGACGAAGCGGCGGAAGATGGCCGTGGCGCCGCCGAGGGTCGAGACGCGCTGGGCAACGTAGCGCGGGAACGACGAGGCGAAGCCCCACTGGTACGTGTTGTACGTCGTGCAGTTGCTCGCCGGCGCCAGCGGGCGGTCGGTGGTGAAGTACGCGTGGCTGGCGGCGTTGGCGCCGACGTAGCGCACGGGCACGGTGCCGGCGGCGGTGTCGCTCGAGAGCTGCGCGTAGCGCAGCACCATGCCGGCGCCGGCCGAGTGGCCGACGACAAAGACCTGCGAGAGCAGCGGATACTTGGAGCGGTCGGCGAAGTCGCTGAGGAGCGAGTCGAAGACCTGGAAGCTCGAGCACTGCGAGCCGCTGAGCGAGTACGGGCCGCTGGAGGGCGCCGCGGCGTCGGCGCCCGAGTACTGCGAGTTGCTCGCCAGGTCGCCCGTGCCGAGCGCGTCCCACGCCAGGTTCTGCGCCGGCTGGTAGTACGACGAGCCGCTGGGGCCCGTGGCGGCGGCGTCGCCGACGTTGTTGAGCTGCGGCGAGACGATGAGCACGGCGGGGTTCGTGGCGCCGCCGACGTAGGGCGCGAGCCAGACAAACGACTTGTCGCCCTCGCGGTTGTTGCCGTGCATGACGAGGTAGGCGGTGCGCACGAGGCTCGGCTGCGTGTATGCGTTGTGCGAGACGAAGAGCGGCACGGTGGCCGAGATGCCGACGCACGGCGCGTACTGCACCAGGTCGACGCCCGCCGGCGGCGCGGGCACGGCGCTCGTCGACGTCGACGTGGCCGCCGTGCTGGAGCTCGTCGTCGTCGCCGTCGTCGTGCTGGTGCGCGTGGTGCTCGTCGTGGTGGTGCTGGTGCGCGTGGTGCTGGTGCGCGTCGTCGACGGCGCCGTCACGGCGCCGGCGTTGCGCGTGTAGCCGTACGAGTCGACGACGGAGCCGCCGGTGCTCGAGGGCCCCTTGGTCGACGTGGCGGCGCTCTTGGCCTGCTTCTGGCGGAAGAGGGCGCAGGTGATGCCGGGCGCCGAGCCGCCGCTGATGCGGATGGGGTGGAAGAAGCCGCAGCCGACGGTGGCCTCGCAGCGCGCGCCGCACGCCGCGATCTCGCGGCTGCTGAGCGTCTGCGAGCTGCTGATCTGCGAGCGCGCCAGGTAGTCGCTGCCCGAGTAGGCCAGGCGATTCTTGTCGATGCCCCAGCTGTAGCGGTAGCCATCGGGCGGCGTGCCGAGCTGCGAAGCGCTGAGGAAGCGAGCGCGCAGCTCGTGCTCGGGCGCGGGTGCGGCGTCGGCGGCGAGCAGCGCCGCGAGCACGCCGATGAGCGGCAGCAGTAGGGCGGCGGCGCGCATGCTGGGAGAGAGCGTGGTGGGAGTAGAGCGGGCGTGCGGATGCGGGCCATCGTGCGTACCGCTGCGGCGGGCGCTGCGTATTTGAGGCGTGCGCGCCGGCGACGCAAGAGGCAGGCGGAGGCCCAGCCGCAGCAGGCGCGACACGCCCGGCGCGCCAAGGGCGGCGCAGCGCAGCGCAGCAGCAGCCTGCCTGGTGCTGCCAGCCGCCAGCCTGCGCGCCGGAGAGGGAGGCGCAGGGCAGCAGGATGTTGGGCGCGCAGGCGGAGTCAAGAGTGGCGGAGTCAGCGTGCCGGGAGCCAAGGCGTCAATGGATGCGCGCGGCGGGCGCCGGCCACTGTGCTGCGCCGCCGCGGCACTCGGCCCCTCAGCCGCCTCAGCTCAGGGTGCAGCGTGCGCCACGCCGGCGCGGCACCACGCAGATCCGCCGCCGCAAGCGCAGGGCAGCTGCTCCTCCTCCATCGCACCATCCGCGCCGCACCGCACAGCACCAGGCAGCGTTCGGCGCCAGCGTGGCCACAGCACAGCGCAGACCGTGCGCTCCTGCCCTCTGGCGTCTGTCGCCGCGACTCGGCCGGGCTCTGAGACGGCCTGGGCCGTGCCGCACGCCCCCGTGCGCCCGGCGCAGGAGCGCACTACCGGCGACGGCCGCGCGCCACGCAGCCGCGGCCGGGCGACGGAGGCAGGCGGCCCGGCAGCAGCAGGCAAAGCACGGGGAGCGCGTGCAGCAGCGTGCAGACATGCGCTATGGGCGCCACTCGCTGCCGTGCTGCCGCCTGGGTGCTGATGCTGGGAGCACCCGAGCGGCAACCGGCCGACGCAGGCACCAGCGCGGCGCTGAGGCTGCGGCAGCCGCTGCTGCGCCGCACCTCGCCGCTTGTGCGGCCGCTACTGCGCTGCTCTGCTGCCGGGCTGCCGCTGCGCCCTGCGGCGCTGCGGCACCGCGCCCGAGGCAGCGGCGCTCGCAGCCCGCGACAGCCGCAGCGCGGCGGGCCATCCGAGGGCCGTCTGCGCGGCTGTCTCGCCCGGCGGCGTGAGAAGCGGCCTCGCGGGCACTGCATGCTGGAGCGACACAGGCGCGGGGCGCATCGCCATGCTCGCCGCCGGCTGCTCTTGCGGTGCATCGCACTGGGAGCAGCATGCTGAGGTGGACGTTGACGCAGCAGAGGCGGCACGCGATCGCCAGCCGCAGCGGCAGCGTCTTTGCCTGCGCGTGCTGCGCCGTGCGGCAGCTTCCGAACGTCAGGCACGCGCGGGAGTGCGTCTCTGGCCGCAAGATGCAGCGGCAGCGCCGAGGCGCGCGCGCAGCGGCAGCACAGCAGCAGCACAGCGCAGAGCAAGAGAGTAGACTCAGACTGCAGCGACGCAGCAGCGGCGGTCGCGCCGGCGCAGCCCGAGCAGCCGCAGCGTGAGAGCGCCGGCCTCGGCGGCGGAGGAGAGGAACGATGTTGCCGCTCAGCTCCAGGCGCGCAGACAAGCACGCTGTGGGCTGCACGGCTGCGGCTCTGCTCGGCCCGGCGAGGCGAGGCGAGGAGGGCGAGGAAGGAGGAGCGAAGGAGCGCGCCACAGTTTGGCGCGGGAGCGCGGGAGCATCGCATCTGCAGCAGCATCAGACCCTCGGGGCCGCGGCTCGACGTGCGCGCGCCGAGCGCATGCCCGAGCACGGAGGCGCAGGCGCAGCTGCAGCACGGCACAGGCGCGAAGGCATGCACGGCAGCCAGGCAGTGTCGCCCACGCCGAGCGAGATGTGCTGCGGCCTGCGGCGCGCCTCGGCGCCGGCGTGTGGCTGGCGGCTGCCTCGTGCCTTGGCTTCGCTGCGGCTGCGGCTGCGGCAGGAGCAAGATGCAGCGGCGCCGTCTTCTCCTCCCTTCGCTGCTGCTGCCACCGACGCACAGCAAGATGGCGCCGCCTCGCGCGCACCGTCGATCCTCGTGACGTGCGGCTGCAGCAGCTGCAGCTGCGTCTCGCTGCCTCTTGGCCTGGTGCTGCATGCTGCTAGCACGTGAGACGGCCTGCTCTTGGCGCCATCGAACGGGCGTCGCAGGCACTCGCGCGTCAAGGTCGAGATGCAGCGATCGGCGCAGCATTCGACGCTCACAGTTGCAGCGGCACAACCTTCAGCGAGCGCTCCTGCATCACCGACTCGCGTCGTCGCGCGACACGCGCTGCTTGGCACGGCCGAGGTCCTGGTCTCACGGCTGCCAGACCTGCTCCCAGACACGGCTGCAGGCACGCCGGTGCAGCGTGCAGACGGCTGCGGCCCCTGCTGCGCCCGACTGGTGGCCGCAGCCAGTCGCAACACAACTCGGCCGTGCAGATGCAGCATCGCCTGAGCCGGAGCCGCTCCCAGAGCCGGAACGCAGCCAGGGCACCGTGGGCGTCGGCAGCTCGAGCGGTGCGTCCGTGCAGCAGCGTCAGCATGCAGCTCTGCCAAGCTCCAGCCTCCATGCCTTGCCGCTCAGCACGCCTGCCGCAGCGTGCAGCAGGGCCGCTTGTGCCGCTCCTGCGACAGCTGCTCGGATGCGCTCGTGCGAGGCTGGAATCGATGAGCGACGTGCGCGCCTCTCGACGTCGAGACATGGCCGGCGCCGAGTCGACAGCATGGACGCAGCCTGACCGCGCAGGTGCCAGCTGCACCGGCCGCTTCGCAGACGACCACATGCAGGAGTGGATCAAGGGTCTATAAAAGCCATCGTGCTGCCCGCCTGCGTCCGCGTGTGTGCTGCCTAGACGGCGTACTGCCGTGTCCACTTGCGGCTCTCCTCGATCGCCCTGCGGTCACGCGAATCAGCGCGGGCGACGGCGACGGCACAGAGCGCAGCACTCACGCCTTCTCGTCCGTCTTGTAGTGCTCCGCCACGTCGTTGGCCAGCGGGTCGTCCGGGTTTGGCGCAGACAGGAGCGCCTGAATGGAGAGCAGCACGGTGCGGATCTGCAGTGCCGGCGACCACTTGTCTGCATCGGGGTGCCACGGTGAGTCGCGCAGCCGGCGCGGCACTGCTGCTGTACGCACCCTTGAGAATGTCGAGGCAGATGCGGCCAAGCTTGTCTGCACATCATGACGAGCGGCGTCAGCACGCATGAGCGAGACGGAAGTGTCCCTGGCCGGCAGAAGCCGAATCGGCCTGAGTAGACGCTGGACGCAGAGCACGCTCGACAGCGCGAGAGGCACCTCTGGCTGTCCCCTTTCACGGCTGGAGCACGGCTGCGGCGAATACCTGCTGTCGACCTCCGCCGCACCACACTTGCAGCACAGGCGCCCGCACGTTCCCATTGACTCTAGCGCAGATCCTCCCGGCCCGCCGCCGCTGCGCCCCCGGCCGCCGACCGACGCACCGATGTTGGGGTGGTAGATCTTGGTGAGGAAGCGCACCTTTGGCGGCGCCATGGGGTACTCCTCCGGCAGGAAGAGCTCGAGCTTGAACTTGCCGCCTGGGCGGCGGGTGCGTCAGCGCGCTGCCCGTCAGAGTGCCGCGACGAAGGGCGCGCCGCCGCTGCGCCGGTGTGCGTGCGCGCGCTCGCCGCCGCCCGCGCGCCTCACCCTCAAACGGGCTCTGGCCGGGCCCGTCGATGATGACGTCGAAGTAGCGCAGGTTGTCCTCGTGCGGCTCGGCGACGATGCCGGGCGCCGGGTCGGCGACGAGGCGCTCCGTCTCCTGTGCGGGGGCGGCGCCGGCGCGTCAGCATGCGTGGCGGCGCCGGGCGCGGCATGTGCGCCAGGGCGGCGGCGCACCTTGATGATGCGCTTGGGCAGCGACATGGCCGCAGCAGGGGTGGTGTGGACGAGGGCGGGGACCGGCGGGCGCGTGGGCCGGCAGCGAGGGTGGTGGAGGGACGGCGAGGCGCAGCGGCGCGAGCGGCGCCGGGCGGCCGGGCCGTGCGCCGCGTGAATATTCGGGGGCGCGCGCGGGAAAATGCGCCCCTGCGGGGCGCATTTTCCATCCTCACGTGCGGCGATGCGGCGTGGGAGCAGCACCGCTGAGACGCTGTGTGGCCGCTGCGCGCTAAGGCTGCGCCGTCTCCCCCACCATCCCGATCACCACTCGCCCGCCTGCACCACCACCACCTCCTGCCGCCGTCTGCCGCGCCACCGCGCCTGTCTGCTCGCAGCACTCCCGCCAGCGCACTCCGTCCGCCGCTGCCCGCCATGGCGGCCAACCGCCAGAGCAGCCAGTACTACGAGCTGTACCGCCGCAGCTCGTGAGTGGCGCCGAGGCCGCGTGCTGCTGCGCAGGTGTGGCCCGACGGCGGAGCTGCTGCAGGCGCACGCCGTGCCGTGCTGCTGCATGTGCCCTGGCGCAGTGACGCCGGCCTCGCCGCTGGGCCGCCAGACGCACACGCGGCCGCACGACCGCCTGTGCCCTTCGCGCCGCTCCAGCTGACACGCGGCGGCCGGCAGCATCGGCATGCAGCTCACGGACGCGCTCGACGAGCTCATCCAGTCGGGCCACATCAACCCCGTGCTCGCGATGAAGGTGCTCACGCAGTTCGACAAGTCCGTCGCCGAGACGCTCAACAAGAAGGTCAAGAGCAAGAGCTCGCTCAAGGTTTGCAGACTCGCGCGCGGCTGGCGCGGCCGGACGTGGCGCTGACGGGCCATGCAACCAGGGCCACCTGCACTACTACCGCTCGTGCGACGAGGTGTGGACGTTCATCGTCAAGGACGCCATGCTCAAGCTCGACAACGGCGAGATGCTGCCCGTGTCGCGCGCCCGCATCGTCGCCTGCAAGCTCGGCGACTCGAGCGCAGCCAAGTAGCCTGCCCGCTGCGCGCTGCCGCTCGCTCCGCACCCTCACGCCCACTCACGCCCGTCTCCGCTGTCCCTCGTCGTCGCGCTCGCTCATCCATGTACTCTTCACTCCACCTACAATCACTAGTGTCTAATTCGCAGTCAGCCGCGCCCCGGCCCGCCCTCGCCGGCCAGCTGCCACTTGTCAAACTCGGCCTCGCCAAAGCGCAGCATCGTCGTGGTGCCGTGGTCGCAGATGGCGAGCACGACGGTGCGGCGCCCGGCCTTGAGCGCCGGAAACGGGTTCGGCGGCCGCCGGTCGGCGCCGGTCCGAGGGCCGCGGCGCGGCACAAACTTGATGAGCGCTCCTGGCGGTGCGTGTGCAAAGGTCTCCGCCACGAGCACGCCCAGACGGCGCAGTAGCGAGGCCAGTGCCTCGACCCGCGCCTGCAGCGGCGCAGGCAGGCGTGCGAGCATGCGGAGCAGCGGGCTCTCCTCGCGGCGCTTGCGCTGCAGCTCGTTCTGCTGCGCGTCGCGCCGCTCGCGCTCGAGCTTGCGCACAGCCATGCGCCCGTAGCTCTCGTCGTTGCGCTGCTTCTCCTCGCGGGCGCGCTGAGCCTCCTCGTCGCCCGCTTCGCCGAGGGCCAGCGGCACGGGCACCTGCCCAAAGAGATGAGCAAACTCGGCCGCAGTCGGCACCGACGTCGAGCGTGCGGGCGCCACGGCAATGCGAAACTCGGGCGGCGACGGGTCTGACTTCTTGAAGCGCGTCGCCGGCCGCCAGGCGTAGTAGAAGATCGGGAAGCGCTCGGTGGCCGGCAGTGCCTGGCGCGGACGTGCTGCGTGGCCGCTGGGCACGATGCGCAGCTGCGAGAAGGCCGAGTCTGACGCACGTGTCAGCGACAGGAACGCCAGCAGAACACGGCGCCTGCTCACCATAGGTGTCCCACCGCCTGCCGCCGATGCCCAGCAGGCCAGTGCCACGCGGCGGCGGCGGTGCGAGGCGTGCCAGCAGCCGGCGGAGCCACATCGCAACGCTGTACCGTGCATCGCCGAGCAGCTGTGCCGCTCGTCGGAAGGGATAGAGCAGGAGGTCGAAGACAGTCACGAGGCGCAGCGGCCGCCGCGGGTCCGCGACGATGCCCGCGGCCGTGCTGCTCTCGCCCTGCCGTGCGGCGACGGCGGTGCGGTGCAGCTCCTCGTACGTCGCCGCGCGCTGCACTGGATAGCCGAGCCGCTTGAGGTACGCATACACCTGCGTGCCCGCGCGTCAGCCGTCGCGCCGGGCGCCGCGCCGTGCCTGCTGGCCGCACGCACCTGGTAGCGCTCGCGCGTGAGGCCGTCGCTCGTGCTCAGCTCCGCCCACGCCTGCTGCACGCTCATGCCCACCCACGCCTCGTCGGCGTCGTGCGCCGTGCCGCGGTAGGCATGCACGCGCCGCCGGCACTCGAGGCTGCCGCGCTCGACGAGGTAGAGCGCCTCCTCGGGCAGCAGCTCGACGCGGGCGCGCGTGCGCGGGTAGAAGACGCCGTCCTTGGTCACGCCCGCCACGGCCGGCCGGCTCGCTGCCGCCGCCGCAGGCCAGAGGTCGGCGTCGCTGCCGTCGTCGAGCAGCGGCACGCGGCGCGTGCAGCCCAGCGACGCAAACACGGCGCCGTGCTGCGTGTGCAGCACGCAGCGCTGCAGCTCGGGCACCCACGTGCCCGTCGAGAGCAGCTTGCTGCCGCGCAGTGCGGGGCATCAGCAGTGGCCAGCGGACGAGTGTGCTGCCCGTGTCGTGGCTCACCTGCCGATGCGCCGCTCGCCGCTGATCGCCTCGCGCATGGCGGCGCGCGACTTCTCGAGCGCACGCTGCTGCGCGCCGAAGCCCGTCGGCTCAAAGTCCTTCTCGCCGCGCTTGGGGATGAAGGGCACGGCGGCGCTGCTGCGGGCGCGCGCGGCGAGGGCGAGGAGCTGCGAGTAGTCGGGCACGTCGTCCTCGGGGTCCGAGGCGCCGTCGTCGGAGCCGGCGCCCACGGCGGCGGCGTCGTCGTCGTCGCGCGCTGCGGACAGCGGCTGCGGCGCGGCCGAGGGTGCGTCGGGGTCGGCGTCGGGCTGCAGCGACATGGCGAGGGCGGGTGCGGGTGGAGTGGAGCAGAGGCAGAGAGGCGCGCGCGCGGCACGACGCTGCCCTGGCAGACTCACTTGGCCCTCGAGAGCGAGCTGCCCGCCGCCGCCAAAATTCAGACTCTCCGTGCGAGAGAGCAGCGGCGCGCGCCGCGCGCGGCGCGCGTGACCGAGCGGCTTGGCACGCGCCAAGTGCAAGTGCTGCCGCGCGTGCCTCGACTCGCGGCTGCCCTTCGCCCTCGCTACATTCTTCATTCTGCTGCACCCGCAGATACGCAAGACTTGAATCGGCTGCGGAGCGAGAGCAGAGGAGGGAAGCGTCAGTCTGCAGTCGGAGTCTAGCACAGGGATGGGGCAGGCGTGATGCTGACTGCCGCTGCAAGCAGTGCATCTGCGGGCACAGCCCGCAGCGCGCGGCGCGCACTTGGCGTCTGCAGCGGCGCCGTCTCAGCGAGGGGCAGTCATTGCGCCGTGCAAAGTCGCTGTGAGCTACAGCTCTGGGAGTAGAGGAACAAAAGTGCGCCTCAGCCACGCATCTGCCTCGGCATGGAGGAGCGGCCAGACAGGCGAGAAGAGGCGCGAGGAGCGAGGCGCTGCAGCAAGGTGGAGGGACGCCAACTCCCGAGTGCCGAGAAGCTCTTGTTCGACGTGCGCTCGCTCGAGCCACGCAAGCGGCGCCGCTTCCCTTCGCCTTTGTCCTCGTCGTCTGGCACCGCACACTTCTCTTCCCACCACCACCCACCCTACTCCAGCATGTCAACGCTGCACCAACCGGCGCATTTCCTCCCGCTGGACGACTACGCCTCCTCCACCAGTGCCGCACAGGTGCCGGTAGAGCGCGAGCTCGCCTCACTCGGCGCCGCCTATCGCGCGTCGTCGTCGTCGGCGCCCGGCGCCGCTCCCGAGCTGCAGCGCGCTGCGCATCTCGCCTTTCTCGCGCGTGCCCTGCATCCGCTGCCCGCCTCGCACGTCGCCTTCGACAGCACGCGTCCCTGGCTCGTCTACTGGGCCGCGCACGCCTCCTACCTGCTCGCCGCGCCGCTGCACGCGCGCCTGCAGGCTCGCGCCGCAGAGACGCTGCTCAAGTGCCAGGCCACACTGGGCGGCTTCGGCGGCGCACATGGACAGACGGGTCACTTGATGGCCACCTACGCCGCCGTCATGGCCTTTGCGTACGTCGGCGACAGGCACAGCTGGGAGGCGATTGACCGGTGAGTTTTGGCCCCATCGTAGGCGAAGACGGGGCGCGCACCTTTTGCCGCAAAGGGAGACGCAAAGGCGGCGGGCAGGAAGAGGGAGGCCGCTTCTTTGCAAAAGGGCGACGGCCAGATAGAGTAGAAGGCTGGGAGCTGGCAAAGTTGCCACGCGCATGATGCTCGCCCCCCCCCCCCCCCCCCCCCCCCCCCCCCCACATTCTCCATGGTGTCTCTCCCTAAGGGCTCCGCTCCCTCCTCGCTGCCTTTTGCGCTCCCACAAGCGCTATATGCTGGACGAGGTGGCCTTTTGCTGAGTTCCCCCCTTCCCACGCCCTCACACTCCACAACAGGCCGGCGATGTACGCCTTTCTCCTCTCCCTCAAGCTCCCCGACGGCTCCTTCACCGTGCACGTCGGCGGCGAAGTCGACGTGCGCGCGACGTACTGCGTCGTCTGTGTCTCGCTGCTGCTCGGCATTGCCACGCCGCACCTGCTCGAGGGATGCGACGAGTTCATCGCTTCGTGAGTTGTTGTTGTTGTTTCGCCACACACGAATCGCGCGGAAAGCAAAAGAGGCAGAGAAAGGAGCAGCGGCTGATAGAAGGCAAGGCAACAGGTGCCAGACGTATGAAGGAGGCCTGTGTGCGGCCAGTCAACCCAGCTACTCGGCGCACGCCACGCTGGATCGTTCAGCGCCGCGTCCCGCGCTCGGCGAAGCACACGGCGGCTACACCTTCTGTGCCGTCGCCTCGCACCTGGCTCTCTCTTTGCTTCCTCTTCCTCCCTGCTCCTCCTCGGCGCCTCAGCTCGACGAGGCGGCGCTGCTGCGCTGGGCCACGTCGCAACAGGGCGCCGCGAGCGAACTGGGCGGCTTCAGGGGCCGCACGAACAAGCTCGTCGACGGCTGCTATGGCTGGTTCGCCGGCGCAGGCATGTTTGCCTGCCTGCAGGCACTGCTGCAGAGACGAGCGGCATGGTGGAAGTCAGAGGAAGAGGAGGAGGAGAAGGCGCAGAGTGCAGCAGAGGACGAGGAATGGATCGACGGTGCGTTCGTTTGCCCCTCTCCCCCCCCCCATCTTCTTTCTGCGACGCTCATTTCTTCTCGCACAATTTCCCAGATCCACTCTCCTTCTCTCCCTCCGACGCCTTTCTCTTCGACCGCCTCGCCCTGCAAGAATACGTCCTCCTGGCCGCGCAGGATGCCTCGGGCGGCGGCGGAGGAGGCGGCCTGCGCGACAAGCCCGGAGCGCGCTGCGACGCCTATCATACGTGCTACAATCTGTCCGGCATGTCGCTGGCGCAGCACCGCCTGCGCGTCGACGCCGCGAGTCGCCGCGCGCTCGAGGACATGTGGAAGTCGCAGCAGCAGCAGCAGCAAGGCGACGAGGAGGCTGAGGAGGAGGAGGCCGACGCATGGCGCAAGGCATGCTACGTCTCCTGTCTCGCCTGGAGCGCCGAAGCCGCGCACAAGGCCGTCGTGGGCGAGGCGGAGCGCAACGAGCTGGTGCCCACGCATCCGGTCTTCAACGTGGCGTTTCCCAAGCTCAAGGAGATGCTCGATTGGGCGTATGGGCAGGCGTGAGAGGCGCGCGCGCAAAGAGGGGCCGCACACGTACGACGAGGGCGCAACTTTCACGCGCGCGACATACTACGCCGAACGCCCCCTTCTTGTCCCCTTCCTCCTCATTCTCCTGCCGTGTCCGCCTGCGCGTTGCTCGCAGAGAAGCCAAGCTTCACGGCTTTTACGCCCTCCGGGGCGCTGTATAATACCACAACCTCTCCTCTCGGCTCTCTCTCCCTCTCTCTCTCCGCTCGCACCGATGCATGTGGCCTGCTGGTGCTGGTATGCTCGCATTCGCAAGACTGGACGCAGCCCCCAAGGGGTGCCGTTGCGGCCGTGCGCGTGGGCGCGCACACTCATCTTCGCCCTGCCCGCGCGTCTCTTTCAAAGGCCCTCCCTGACCAGCTGTCCCGGCTTCAAGCCCTTTGCCTTTGCCTCGGCGGCCAGCTGCGCGCGTGTGCGCACGCCGTTCCACGACGGCGCCGCCGCCGCCGTCGCGCCTCCTGCCGCTGCGCCTCCTCCGCCGCCGCTCGAGGAGGCGCGCGGACTCAGCGTCGTGCCCTGGAAGCGCGCCACGAGGGCGTCAATGTCGAGCTGGCGCGCGCGCCGCCATTGCTTGACGTCCTGCCGCAGCTCGGAGAGCAGGCGGGCAAGTTGGTTGTAGAACTGCTCGCCGGAGAG